CCTCGAGAAAGTTACGAATAGTCGCAAACAAAACTTATGGGATCCCAAAGGAGAACTTTAGGTTCGGTTCGTCGTGGCTCATGGCTGCCAACCACCAGTCCCACACCACACCGTAGAATGCACACCTTGATTTTGGTCCCCTCGAGATTCTTACTCGCTCACTACGTCACCACACTGATCCCGTATCATTTGCAAGAATCTCAGTTTCCTGACAGCACAGACGGCTTAGATACCTCGAACTCGTATGTTCGTATTCGCGAGTGTCTGTCTTCTGGAAAGCCGTTTATGTGCTGCCTGATGTAACAGCTTGGTGTTCTTGTGGTGTTGTACAAGCACTTCATTAAGATCTCCGTCAATTACCATCAGAGATCGGGATTGCAGCGTAGGAACCGCGTACATCCCAGTTGCGGCGAATATGTCAGAGAATACAGACGCCGCGATACCCAAGGACCCCTCCTTGTCGTATCGCTACTGGGTGGGCCCGCGGGGGAATGGCGAGATGGCAGCTCCCCCGCCGATGCCGAGGAGATTAAGTCAAGAAGAGCTTGCGAGCCTACAACGCAACGACTCCAAGGGATCGGCCTGGAACCAAGTGAGTGAGGGCGATACGAAGCTAAGGCGAGGGGAAAGTGACGGAGGAGTAGCACGCAATGGATCTGTATCTTTTTTTGTAGGAATATGAGTGGGCTTGGGCTGGATCAACCTGGATATGCAGGATATTAATCGACTGAAAGGTAGGATGAGGTGAAGTGCTATTTTTTATTCGCGAATTGGTGAATCCGGAAGTAATTTCGTGTCTTCAAAGGTCGAAGAGTGCATGCTGGATGAAATAGTTGAAGCGTGATCTCATATAACTCACGGATTAATCTCGACGTGAGAGTGAGTCCGAGTCCTGGTGTTAAAGTGCACGTTCTGTTTGACAACGGCCTGGTTCCAGGCCGCTTCAAGATCGCATTTCGTCACGAAGAGTTGTGTCTCGAGTTCGTCGGTCGTCAGTTGACCCAAACCAAGCTCTCACAATCCTGCTCTCAATTTCGCGCTCACAGTCTTGCTCTCACAATCTCGCTCTCACAATCTCGCTCTCGCAATCCTGCTCACACAATCTCGCGCTCACAGTCCCGCGCTCACAATCCCACGCTCAATTCCCGCTCACAATCCCGCCCAACCATCCCGCCTCCGTGGTCCTACCTGCTGCAGGGTGGCACGTGGGAGGAGAGATCTCTAAACGACTGGGCGAAGCAACGACTGAAGGTTCGTCAATTAGGAGCCGGAACGAGGTGGATTCAGTGGTCCCACCCTCTTGAGGAAGCTGCCTGGCTTAAAGCTTGAATAATGGATCTTCTGTGAATTTGAAATTGGAAAGTCAAGGAGAAGAATGTGACTACTGGGAGCGAGAGCATGAACTTTGCGATGGGCTTTGGTTGGTGGAGAAACTCGAGTCATGCGTATTCACCTGACTGTGCCTGCTGATTTCATGTCCCTGCGTTTCGTCTAGATTCTCTTTTCACCCTCAGTCAATCTATGTTGTGGTCACGTCACACCCACACTGCCCGCTCTGCTTGATTCCGCATATTCCCTCTGTGCCGCATCTGCCTGTCTACTCCGTACTGTGCCCACTACTGTGCCCACGCCGCCTTGCAGGAGCTGCTGCGTTGCTCCTGTCCAGCCGTCATCGGCTCGACCACCTACACCCTGACCACGGAAGTGGATTCCTGCTCTGGCGATGTAAGCCCTACTCCCTTATCCTCTTCCCTCCTTGCCGTGCCTCATAAGGGTTCACACACGCATCTGTTCGTGAGATTGACTTGGCTTTGTGTACCAAGCATCTATCTCTGAGCTACTTTGAGAACTCTCACAAGTTTGCCAGCTATTTATTTGACGTTGAGAATCCTTATAAGTGTACCAGCTATCAAAATGAGGAAAAAAAAGAGTGTACCAGCCATCACACCCTTTCGGTCCCCTGTCCCACACTTCCCCCCGCCTTTCCGCCTTTCTCCCGCCTTTTGTTCCAGCCGTACACACTCACTTTCAGACTCCTTCCATCTCTCTCTCTCATACACACACACAATCTCTCTCTCTCTCTCCTTCGTTCTTCCCCTCTCCATGGCAGACGACGATCGTGGTGGTGCGCAATAAGAGGAGGCACGGTTACATCCTAGACATCAACGTTAAGATATCAGGTACCCACTTCTCCCCCACCGTGTCACGCGTCCCGTTCGCCTTGTTCTACCATCACAAGTGCCCATGTTCTATCTAACACGTGCAATTTCCCCCCCAAGCCCCCTATTTTCTTCCCATGCTTTTTAACCTTACCTCACTTTTCTAACTCCAATTCCCTCTCTCCCCTACTCTCCCGCTTCCCTCTCTCCCGGCTCTCCCTTGCACCTCCCCGTCTCGGAGCAGCGAGCAGCACTATAGCAGACGCCAAGGAGGTAACTGGCACTCTCACCGTGCACGACGCCACGTTTGGAGAAGTGGACGACTGGGAGGTGCGTGTACACACGCAGAGTTGCCCACTTCACTGCCCTCCTGGCACCCTTTTTAGCAAATATCCCCTAGAGCTTTTCCCACTCCTAACCTGCCTTTGTCTCCTGGACATCGGCCTTCCCGCGCCAACCCTGCCTGTCCCCGCCCTGCAGTCAAATTTTTGTGCTACGGAAAGCCTATCATGTTGCATGCCCCTTCGAGCATGCCCGCATGTACCCATCATCCTCTGCTCTCTCTCTCTCTTTGCTCTAATATCCCAAACGGCCAGCTGGCCTTCCACCGGCGTGAAGTCCTGGCATGCACTTTGCATTCTGCGTTGACTTGCTAGTCTCCTTACTTCACCTACCTTCCATCACTTGGTACGAGTTCACTATAGAATTGCAAGGGTGATCCCGAGAATTGAGAGAGTTCCTTTGTCATCTTACAGAATCCCCATCTCAAAATCTCACTGCTTCTCCCCTCTTTCTCCCCCCCCCCCCCCCCCCTCCCCCCTCCCTCCCTCCCTTTTTGTTTCCCCTCCTCTCCCCCGCCCGCTCCTCTCCTCACGCTCACACACACTCGTCACCCTGCTTCCTGGTGCCTCAGCCCGAGATTAAGGTGGAGCAGGGGAAGGGTAAGCTGACAGACTCAGAAGTATCACATGCTCAGAAGGAAGTGAAGCGCCTGCTGCTGCCGCTGCTGCAGGGGCAGATGCGAGAGTTTGAGAAAGAACTGCTGCAGAGGTAGCACGGCGGGTGCAGCACCAGCAGCAGCTTTTGTTGACGGGTGGAGTTGGGGCATGCAGGGAGGAGGAAGGTGTGCTGGCAACCAGTCGTGTGCGAGCAGAGCAGACTATTCTTGGTGGTACTAAAAGGGTATCGACATTCAGAGTTCTTTTGGGCCGACCCAATCTCCAGCAGCACTGGATGTCCTACCTTGATTTCGGGCTACAGCAGGGGGAAGGGTGGGGAAGGTACCAGTACTCAGATACTAATACAGGGGAGAGAAGATGCAAGGATTAGTAAAGCATGGTGATGGGGAGATATCAAAGCTTATACTAGCAGTTCTTTACTAGATGGAACTTGGCATTGAAGCAATAGTATTTGAAACAGAATGCATCGGGCTATGAAATAAATTTGCTGAACACTCAATCATTGGTTAACAATTGCTTCATCAACGTACCTGCACCGCATCCGTTGCTCAGTATCGGGAACAACATGGTTATCATTCTGTAAACGAACATTGTTTTAAACAAGGATGCTGTCATTGTACTTGTAGAATTCACGTAGCATTTGTTTGTCCATTGAAGCAAAAATGCTACGATGTTCTATAAATGACTGCAATGTTCTTTTTCGGTGTGTGCTTCAATATTGGTAAGGGACCAGGTGACCAGTGTCAGGGACTTGCGGAATTGTTCCATGATTGCGAGTTCTTGGAAGCTGCGCCGTGTCGACGGCGCAAGCATTGCCCCTCAACCTCATTTCACGAAAATTGGACCCGCATCACCGGCGGCGACGCGCCGCCTGCGTTGTTGACGGAGAGGCGCAGTGAATGGGCTCCCCGCCTGCTGCGAGTCGGCTCAAGTCAGCGAATGTGTGCATACCGCAGAGTCGCAGACAGGCCTTGTTGCGACTCGCCCGTGGGGGAAGTCAGGTTTGCGCGAGGACGACGACGAACGCCTGGTCGACTTCGTCCAATAAGAACATTCAACGTGGAAATATATTGTCGTAAGTTCACATTCACACGGACTGCTTCACTTTCTGCGCAAGTTTTGGGGAATAATAAGGGGAAGGGCGGAAGCACCACGGTCATGTCACACAATTGGACCACTCATTTCGGAAGCGCAAATCCATTTTCAAGGGATCTCCGAAACGCTCACCAAGGGCATCCGCGGATCACCGCTCCATTGTTCCGCGGTGCAGGCAGGGCGGGGGTAGGAGGGGAATGTGTGTGCAGGCGGAACGCGCAGCTCAACCATTTTCAAGGAGCATCACAGCCAGTTACTGCTGCACACAGCTAAATCCCGCGCACCGGGTTTAGTGTGCAAGCATGTCAGTGCAAGGACATGACACGGGAGGGAACCAAGCCCTGTGTTCGTGTCCCCTCCCCGCACAATTTTATTCTGGCCTCGAGAGGATTTCCTGCTTTCCAGCCACCCTGGAATTGAGTTTTTCTAGGGAGCCACCGCTTACCTTGGTGTTTGTCCCGTCACGTGTTGAGCACTGACTCAACTCACAACTAACAATTCATCATGCAGAGGCTTTGAGTTTACTTGTTCGCAGCTGGCGATTTACAATCTACGAACTTAGCTCGTCGATTTGCTAGTGAAATATGGTAGACGTCTCATCCGAGGAGTTGTGAGCAAGAGCTGTAATTTGCGAACCTGTTCCTCCTTCGTAGTTGTCACGTGCGATCCGATGTCAGAAGGGCGTGAGAAAGTACGCACCATGAGCTCCACCTGCGTCTCGGGAGAAGGGCCTTATCAGCCCGCCCTATCGGTAGCAGCAAACGCACGCGCAGTTCGTAGATCGGTGATGTGGCACAACGTATTAGCGAACGCGTCAATACTCTTGCTGCTTCTGACTGTTCCCGTAACCGTGAGCGCCGCGGACTGGGCGACGATTGGAAAGAAGCTGGATCCCTCGGGCCAGATCCTTTCTTCCTGGATGAACGGTGGTGATCCTTGCGCCGACCCTCCTTTCCTAGTAAGACGAGACGCCTGGAAGGAAATCATGGGTGACGGTTTATCGCGCGGGAACTCTCATTCAGGATCACGCAGACACCGCTTGTCCTTGTCCCCTCCCGTTCTCCTGGCAGCAGTTTCTGTTAGAATCTACCGAATTTAAGCTGCTCCATCACTAGCACTCGTTCCTCCCATTCGTCCCCACTTGTCCCCTCCACAGGGCGTGCAGTGCGATTCGGAGGGCCGCGTGCAGTCCATCTCGCTGGTCAATCGCGAACTCGTCGGCAGCGTGCCGGACGAGCTGTCGCAGGTGAACGAGCTGATCAGCCTGAACCTGGACCAGAACAAGCTCACGGGCGTTATCCCCAACACGCTCAACAACCTCGTGCACCTTCAATCCGCGTCGATATGTTGCAACCTGCTCAGCGGGCAGATCCCGGACTTGAGTCCCATGACAGCGCTCAACCTGCTGCATCTTGATGGCAACTTCTTGCAGGACGCCATTCCTGAATCTCTTGCCAATCTACTTCAGGTAATGAGCGTATTGTTTTTTTTTTTTGGTCTCGACTTATCTGTGAGCTTCACCTCGTCTCCGTTCTTTCACACCCCGTCAGGACTCCCGTTTTTCGTCTAACCTCCGTGCTTCTGATAACCAACTGACTTATGCTTTTAATCACATAATACCCGCTTTCGCCTATTTTGTCCATCGCTCGCCGTCACTCCGCGTCCCCAACCCTTCCGCTTTACCTCGTTCCCCTTGCATCTCTCCTGGCGCGCCGAATTCCCAGCTTAAGGACCTTCAGTTGAACAACAACCACCTGTCGGGTACAGTGCCTTCCGTGCTCGGCAATCTCCAGGCGCTCACGGTGCTGCGCCTCGACCACAACTACCTCAGCGGCACGCTGCCATCCTCGCTGTCGTGGCTCGCAACCACCCCCAACGCCGTCTTCAACTTCACCGAGAATCTCTCCGGCTTTTGCGGGCCCGCAGGCCTCGGCCTTCCGGTAAGCACTTAACGGCATCGGAGATTGGCAGCGGTGATAAGAAGGAAGTGGTGTGACGAGAACGGAGAGTTGTCGCGTGCGAATGAGAGTCTTTTTCCGGCACGCGTTTCTGCAAACGATTGCGGTGATTGGATATAAGCTCCACAGCTGACTGCGTGTTTACCCACGGTTGTCCCGCTCCTGTGTTATTGTCTTGCGTACAAACCCTTGTGCCGTCATCTCTTCTCTTCCCGTGGCTTCTTCCTCTTCTTCCCCTTCTTCCCCTTCTTTCCCCCCCAACACCAGCTCTGCCCCGACGATCCGAACTACGTTCCCCCCGGCACAGCACCACCTCCATCTGCGCCTCCCTCCGTATCACCGCCATCCAGCCCCTCTCCGTCCCCCGTCCCCCCCGCGTCCCCCGCCCCCCCCGCCCCCTCCGACGGAGAAGCGCCCCCGTCTAATCCGCCTCCCGCACCTACCCCCGACTCATCCGGATCGTCAAATTTATCTCCATCTGATTCCGCAAGCGGTGGTGGCAACAGCTCCAGCAGCAGCAGTAGCAGTAGCGGCGGGGGCGGAGTTAGCGTAGCGGTTATCGCGGGCGTGGCCGGGGGCGTTGCGGCTCTTGCGGTGATGGGGCTGTTAGCGTGCTACTGTCTGCGCACGCGCAAGCGGAAGACTGTGGTGAACGCCGCTGCGAGCGGGGCGGCGGGCGAGATGGGAGAGGCGGCGGAGATGATGGAGAAAGGGCAGGGCGCCGCGATTGTTCCTGGCAAGGCAAGTATTGAGTGCAAATGATTGTGTCGGCCCCTTGATGTGGGGGGCGATGGAAACGGAGTGGGGTTGGGAGAGAGTGGTAAAGGAATTATGCGGGGAGTTGCAGAGAGGAAGGGGAAAGCACTGAGAGCATTGGAATGGCAGGGCGAGACGAGGAAGAGAGGTTATTGTGGCTGCGCATTCAGCCCTTTATATGTGTTCATGTGAATCTCTTTACTGTGCTGTTGACAGGGCGGGAGCGCGGGCAAAGGGGGAGCTGCGGCGCGCATTGCGTCCATCAAGAAGGCCAGCGCAAGCGCAGAAGGCGGAGCCAGTGGTCGCAGGGGCGTGGGAGGGTCTGGTCGCGGTGGTGCAGACGCAGCACCCGGAGCGGTGGAGAGTGGTGGTGGCGCGCAAGCCAGCAGCCGCCCATCGCCAGTAACGATTACGGTTGAAAAGGCCGGGGCAGCAACTGGAGATGTCACAGCGCCGTTGATTTCCGCTGCTGAAGGAACAGCGTCTGGCGGAGGGGGAGGCGGCGCAGGAACAGCGGCGGGGGCAGCAGCAGGCGTTGCCGCGGCTGCCGCAGCTGTTGGCGTAGGCGCGGCTGTAGCAGCAAGTCAGGATAAGCGGAAGAGCAGTCCCAAGGAGTCCAGCAGCATCCGCGGAAGCAGCAGCGCGCGCAGCAGCGCGGATGGGGAGGAGGGTAGCGGAGCGGGTGCAAGTGGCAGAAACGGACGTCCTTTGCCGCCCGGGATGAGCTGGTCCAAGGGCAGCGGGAGAAAGTTTGTGGATGAGAGCGATGAGGACGACGACCTGTCGAATCAGAAGTTCTTCCCGCCGCCACCGCCCCCGCCCCATATTTCCCCGCCATCCGCTTCTCCGCCCTCCGCCTCAAAGACCTCCGCGGCTGCTGGCGGTGCAGGGAAGTCCCCCTCTCCTCCCCCACGGCACCCCCCTCCTCTGACATCCACCCCCACGCCCGGCGCTGCCAGTTCGGAGAAGCAGTCGTCTCCTCGTCCGCCTCTCCCCCCCCCGCCGTCATTCGGCCATAAGCAGCCTGCATCCCCTCGCCGACTGTCTGGGGATTCTCCCAAAGCTGCTGCTGACGCTTCGGCTGCAGTAGCGTCTGCGTCTGGGCCTGGTTCGGGGACTTCGTCTCCTGGTGCTATCGTAGGCGCTGGCGCTGGCGCCGGAGCGGGAGCTGCTTCTAAGGCAGGAGGGAATCCTGCTGCTGCGGCTGCGGCAGTCGCGGCGGCAACGGCTGCAGTTGCTGCGGCAGGCGGTGCTGCTGCAGCAGCCGCCGCTTCGAGTCCCAAGGCCCGTAGCTCGTCTCCCAGTCGCCCACCTGTTGTGATCCCCCCTGTCGTGCCGCTTCCCACGCTCAAGTCGCTCAACTCCGGGAAGAATTCCCGGGGGGCTAGTGCTGGGGGAACTGCCGGTGCTGCTGGTGCTGCAGCAGGCATTCAGGATGGAGGCGCGGGGGAGAGGAGCAGGGGTACGGAGGCAGAGAGAGGCGTGGAGAAGGGTAAGCTTGGGCCGGAGAAGCCGTCTCCTCCTGCTGCGGCGGCGGTGGGAGTGGCGTATGGTAATGCGGGGAGAGCGTTGAGAGCTGCTGATTTGGAGCTTGATGAGAAGGGCGCGGGGGGGTCGGTGCTGGGGGATGGCAGCAGCGTGGGGGGAGACGACGACGGCAGTGACACGGGTGGTGCTGCGGGCAGCGGCTCTGCTGCTGCTGGGGGTGCTGGTGTTGGCGTGGCTGCTGGTGCTGGGTACGCCGGGCTGGCTCGCGGTGGGGTGTCTCGAGGAGTGGGGTCAGGGCGAGAGCTGGGCAGTCCTGGTGGGGGCGGGGGCACGTGGGCGGGGGGCTCTGATGCGGCGTCTGAGGCATCGGAGGAGAGCGGCAAGGGCGGGTGGGAGCGGGCGTTTTCGTTCTCGGAGCTGGCACTGGCGACGAACGACTTTGGGGCGCGCGGGCAGAGGAACGTGGTGGGGCAGGGGCGCAATGGGACGGTGTACAAGGCGCGTCTGCCGGATGGCACCACTGTGGCTGTCAAGCGGCTCAGCAACAAAAAGTATGTACAGTTGTTCCATGGGCCTGCCCTGCCCCCATTTCCTACCCTCCTCCCCCTTCTCTCTTTTGAGGTTTCTCGGCCCTTGCTGCTGTTGCTCGTTCGTTTCCAACCATCTCTAGCGGGTTCTACTAGGCCCGGCCCTGCTTACGCTCCCACTCCCGTGTTACTCTTCCTGCCCTCCGCTCCCGCTCTCCCCCTTCAACTCTCCCCCATACTCTCCATTTCCTAGTTGAACCTTCACACATGAGCACGCGCGGGCATCTGCGCAGGCGCACTTACATCCACGTCTCACGCACGCGATTCTCCCCCCCCATTCTCCCCCCCTCCCCTTCCCCTTTCCCTGCTTGTTCCCCCGCCCGTTGCGCGCACCACCAGTCCGGACCAGACAGTGCGCGAGTTCCGCTTTGAGGCGGACGCCATGGCGCACGCGCGGCACCCGAACGTGGTGGCGCTGCTGGGGTGCTGCGCAGAGGGCGACGAGCGCATGCTCGTCAGCGAGTTCGTGCCCAACGGCTCTCTCGAGCTCTGGCTGCACGGCGCGGGCGCGGGGGGCGGCGCGTTTGGCGCGGGCCCCGCGGAGCCCATGGAGTGGCCGCTGCGGGTGCATGTGGCGCTGGGATGCGCGCGAGGGTGAGTGAGTTGCGGTGGTGTGGGTTTCTGTGCGTGTGAACAGGTTGTGCGTGCGCGTTTCAGTGTGTAAGAATGTGTGTGCTGGACTTGCTGGACTCATGCCGCTTCTCTCCTTGCAACCCCCTTTCCCTGCATCCCTCCCTCCCTCCCTCCCTCCTGTGCGTTTGGCCTTCTGCCCTGGCAGGCTGGCGTATCTGCGCGAGGGCACGGACGTGCGGGTGGTGCACCAGGACGTGAAGGCATCAGACATGCAGTTAAACTCTCGCCTCTCTTCTTCCATCTACTCCCTCCCCCCCACCATGCCCTCTGCCGTCTACCCCCTGCCCTCACACCAGGCTGGCATACCTGCACGAGGGCACGGACGTGCGGGTGGTGCACCGGGACGTGAAGGCAAGCAACGTGCTGCTGGACGCGCAGTGGAACCCCAAGCTGGGCGACTTTGCCCTTGCCAAAATCATGGCCAAGGAGCAGACGCACGCCGCCACTCGCGTTGTCGGCACGTACGGGTGAGTCCTCGTTGCCATTCCCTTATCATCCTTGTCACTTTCGAGAATAGTGTTCGGCTTGCTTCTTCTGCCCACAGCTTGTAGTTGGCTGTCGTGTTTCAGTGCTGTGAGTCGTCTTCCTCACTGTCTGTCCGCTTGGTCCCGGAGCACTGCTGGTCATGAGCATTATAACCAACCTCTGCACCTTTTCCTCTCTCTCACAACCCACCCTCCCTGCTGCAGCTACGTGGCGCCAGAGTATCTGAACACGGGCATTCTCACGGAGCGCAGTGACGTGTACAGCTATGGCGTGCTACTGCTGGAGCTCGTCACAGGGCGCCGCCCCATTGACAACCACCTGCCGCCCGAACAGGTAGAGGGGAAAGGAAGGGAGGCGGGCCAGGACAGAGAGCGATGGAGGAGTGGGTATGAGCAGCATGGCTGGTGTTTTCGCTTTGCTGCTGTTGCTGGCGTTTCGCTGCTCCGTGGGGTGGCGACGTGGCAATCTTAGCTACGGTGCGCTGGCAACACGCAAGCTTCAAGCGCGTATCTGCTCTTTGTATTCATAGTCTTCAGCCCGCCTTCCCACATTCCCACCCCATGCCTCATACGTTCCCGGGATTGATGTCGCAGGTGGACGTGGTGAGGTGGGTGAAGCGGCTGGCAGCAGAGGAGCGGGTGGCAGAGGCACTAGACCCGCGCATAGCAGGCACGGTGCCGGCAGACGATGTGGAGTATGTGGTGGGCATTGCGCTGCGCTGCATTGATGCCAATGCGCTCAAGCGCCCGCGCATGAAGCAGATTGTGCACATGCTTGAGAGCGAAGACCCTGCGCTGGTGGGTTGGGTGACTAGGGGTTTTCAACTTAATGTTGGGAGGATGTGAGCTGGGAGAGTGGGTGTGTGTGTGTGTGTGTGTGCGTGTGTGTGTGTGTGTGTGTGTGTGTGTGTGTGTGTGTGTGTGTGTGTGATGGGCTGGGTCGGAAGGTGCTTGGTGATGGTTTGGTATGAATAATTTGTTGCGAGGGAGTCAGACTGTCTATGCGCTGTTGCTTGCTGGGTGAGGGTTGAGTGGACCATGTGCTTTCTTGCTGCTGCTGCTGCTGCAGTATGTTCTGTCCTGTCTGCAGTTTTCTCTCTTTTTAACCTCATCTTTACCACAGAACACTCTTTCTCAAGCTGCTCGCCCTCTTTCCTTCCTTGTGCTGCTGCACTGTCAACACCAGAGGGACGGCTGGGTGGCAAAGAGGCCGACTCCTGCAAGTGCCAAGGCCCTGCGTGACTCCAGCCCATCATGGTACCACCGCAACGCTGCTTCAGACTCCCCCGCCGCACCCTCTTCCGCCACCGCTGCTGCCATGGCGATTTCCCGAGCCAGCCCCCGAGGCTCCAGTCCCCGGTTCGGCGGGGCAGGTCCGGGGATCCCAGCGCCTGGTTCAGCGCGCGCAGCAGGCACGAGGCACACGGACATGCTTCGCTCGGGCAGCCCGAGGAATTTCGTCGGCGGCGCCACGGGCAGCAGCCCAAAAGCAGCGGATATTGGCGGGATGATTGCGTCAGCTGCAATGAAAGCAGGTGTCGTGGGTGGGAGTCCCCGAGCAGGCGGGTATGTTGGGTACAGCCCCACTAGAAGCGGAGGGGCAGTTCCAGTTTCACCCCCATCAGCCAGGAATGGCGGTGGTGGATCAGCAAGGGTGGGTGCAAGCCCACCGAAGGTGCCTGCTTATGCACAGGGAGGAAGCACCTCTGCTGCCCGGCTTGGTGGTGTGGGAATGGGAGGAGCTGGAGGGATGAGGGGAGGCAGTCCAGGGGGTGCGGGGTACAGAACTGGCTCCAGTCCGAATGCACCTTTGTATGGGGTGAGTTCCGGAGGGATGTATGGGCAAGGAGGGCCCGGCAGGGGTGGTGATGGAGGTGGTTCTGGTGATGGCATTATTTCGAGTCATGCCATGAGCATTTCTACTACAAGGGGATTGGGAGGCTGGAGTAGGCGGTAGTGTTAGCCTTGCAGATTGACTAGGGTTTCTATGGGGGACGCGAAGTTCAGTTTCCATAATTTTAATAACGTGGTGTATCCTTGGTTTCTTGCTTTGCTAGGGACAAATAGTCCATTTCTGCTTATAGTATGTAATGCTGTCGTTGGAAATACAAGCGCTTGTTTTTACCGTAGGTGTTTCAGCCTTGTACATAACAGGTTTCGGTAATGTCGCAGTAACATTTTCGTTTTCTCAAGCCCATGTGACAACAGCAGCAGACAGAGCTGGTGCTTAGATTTGTGAAAGCCAGCGCACAGCTGGACCCTGGCAGCGTGAATCCAGCTCAGCCATGCTCGCGTGGAGCCCTTGGAACACACTTCGAATCAGCAATGCTCTGGATGTGCCTACGCATGACGTCGACTGTCAACGTCCTGCGCGTGACGGTATCTGTCAGCTGTATCATGCTGGCACGGCGCGCTCCAGCATGTTGTGATTCTCGACTCGCCAGCTCTCCACGTCATCACGGATTTCTTCCGCAATTTGCCCTTCTTCCGCCATGTGCCCCCCAGTCCCTCTGCTTACTGCCGTGCCATCCCATTTCTCAATGCCAATGCCGACGCAAGTTCTTCTTGCCCTTGCGTGCCGCATTTCTTGCATTGAATTCCATTTCTTGTCCTACAAGCCAAGCCAAGAATTAGACAGAACGCAAGCACTAGTAGCTCCCTGTTCAGTACCAGCTTCTACATTTTCAAGCGCAACGTGTCTAGCATTTTCGCCTAGCTTCTGAAGCTCGCGCTACCGTCAACCCAAAGAAGCGCTATCTCGCACACTTGGCAGTTTGCAGCTACTTCTTCCTCCAGACACCTCTGCGTCGTCTCCTCTTCCTCCGCCTTCCCCCTGTCTTTTCTTAACCTCCTCTCTTTCTCCACCACCTCCTCTCCGTCTTCCTCTCTTCGGGTCAAGGAAAAGCAAGAAGAAGCCTCAGGTGTCGTGAATCACGCGTGGAGAGTCGAGAGAACGAACAATGGCGCAGCCGCGCAAGTTCCTGGTAGCAGTGGATGACAGCGAGGTGTCGGCGTACGCGTTCACGTGGGCCATCACCAACCTCTTCCGCCCCGCCGACTCCGCGCTCGTGCTCACCGCCAAGAACTACGCACCCGACATGCCGCTGCCCACCGCTGACATCGCCGCTGGGGGTGAGCGCAGTTTACTCGCGCGTTTTTGCCGTTTCGCTTGTTACCTGCTGCTATTCAGTTTTCATCGGTTCCGTATCCTGCCACTGCTAGTCCCGCCGCTCTGCTTCCTTCTCCGCGCCTTTCGTATTCTCTCCTCATCTTTTTCTCTTCTCCCTCTCCTCTACTCCTTTTCTCTATGCTTCTTTCACCTACGTTCCCCCTCGCCGCATCTTTTCCTTCTCTCCTCGTGGGCGCGGGCGCGCGGCAGGCGAGTACGCGGTACCGCTGGTGGCGCCGGTGTCGCAGGAGGAGCAGCTGGCAGTGGAGGAGCGCGCGCGCGCGTTGGTCGACAAGTACATGCGCCAGTGCGAGCAGGCCAAGGTGACGTGGTCTGTGGGCGTGCGGACGTGGACTGTTGGCCATGGTTCCGTAGGCCGTAGGGGAAACATTGGTTAGAAAGCAGAAGGTTAATTCATGTATTTACGAGCTGTTTTGAAGCAATTTTATCATTTGAGAGGTGCATTTATGTTCCATTCTCTCTCTCTCTCTCTCTCTCTCTCTCTCTCTCTCTCTCTCTCTCTCTCTCTCTCTCTCTCTCTCTCTCTCTCTCTCTCTCTCTCTCTCTCTCTCTCTCTCTCTCTCTCACACACACACACACACACACACACGCTCACTCACTCACTCATTCTGGCGCGCTCTCTCCCACGCTCCCCCACTCGTTCTCACTCCGTCGCAGGTGGTCAGTGAGGGCGAGGTGGTACAGGGCGACCCCGGGCCGCACATCGTGAGCGAGGCAGCGCGCGTGGCGGCGGACGCGCTCATCCTGGGCAGCCATGGCCGCGGGATCCTCGGGAGGTGCGTGGGGGGGGGGGGGGGGGGGGGAAAGGAGCGCAATGGGAAAGCAATCGGGGTAGGTCTTCAAGAGAAGAGCATAATGTCTCATGTGACTCATGATGTCGAAGATAGAGTCTCATGATGTCGAAGATAGAGTCTCATGATGTCGAAGATAGAGTCTCATGATGTCGAAGATAGAGTCTCATGATGTCTCGTGCGTGGTCCGCTCGTGCATGTGTGCAGGACATTTCTGGGCAGCATCAGTGACTATGTGCGCCACCACTCCACCGGTAATTGCCCAGCGCCCTCTCCTCCTTCGCTTCTCTCTGCTCTCTCCTCCCTCCCTCTCTCCTCCCTCCCTCTCCCCCCATCCCTCATTAGTACCGCCACTGCATCACCGTCTTGAGCGCCCGTAATTCCGCTCACGCCTCTCGTACTCCCGTCTCCCGTCTCCCCGCTGTCTCCGCCCGCCGCGCCGTCTCTCCCTCTTTCCCCCTCCTCCCTCCGCCATCTCCCCACAGTGCCGGTGGTGATCGTGCGGCAGCCCAAGGCGGGGGAGACGGCGCACGACGCGCTTACGAGCTCGGGCATGGCGCGGAGGATCGTTGTCGCCGTCGACGAGAGCAGCGAGGTGCGGAATATGCGGGCTTGGAAGGGGGAGGGGGAGGGGGAGGGGAGGTGAGGGGAGGGGAGGGGAGGGGAGGGGTTGGGGGGAGAGGGATGGGGATGGTGGAGGAGAGGAGGGTGTTCGGGATGGATTGTTGCTTTTGAGTCGACTCAAAAGGCATCACAGGGCGGTGTGCGGGATGTGCGGATGATGGCAGATGATATGCACACGCGCCCGCAATTCCCGGCTATAACGTGTGTGAAGTGAACCCTCTATACCAACCCTTCCTAAGCCCTTTCTAAACCCGCGATAACCCCCATCCCCCCTCTCTCCCACCCGCGTGAGTGGCGGCAGGCGGAGTTTGCATTCGCATGGGCGATGCGGCACGTGGTGCGCGACGGCGACCGCCTCACGGTGCTGCACGTGCAGAACCCCATCGCCGCGCCCACCTCGCTCGGCATCGGTACGCCCGCCTGGGCTCGCATAGGGTCGCATGGGGCTCGCATGGGGTCGCATGGCATCGCATAGGTTCGCGTGGGTTCGCATTGGGTCGCATGGGCTGATATAGACTACTGGCGTGGGCGCTCGGTGGGGAGCTTGCGGTTTTTTTGCTTCCCGCCCGCAAGTCCATTCGCATTCGCATCTTAATGCTCTGTGTTCCTCCCGACCCTCCCCGCCCCGGCCCGCCCCTTCCCTTTCCGGCCCGCCCCGCTCCGCGCTTGCGCGCTTGGCGGTGCGGCAGCAGACCAGTTCGGCATGGAGGACGTGTACATGCCGCCCGACACGAGCAACCGCGCCAACGTGCGCGCGCTGGACGACAGCGAGAAGCTCGTGGAACGCTTCATGGCGCTCGTCGCCGCTAGTAGCAAGGTGGGGCGCACAGGGGGGAGTGCGAAGGGGGGCTGAGTGGGGGAGAGTGGGAGTGTTTTGAGACGTCTCAAAGCTCGACGACAGCGAGAAGCTCGTCGAACGCTTCACGGCGCTCGTCGCCGCCAGCAGCAAGGTGCGCGCCGCACAGAGCGGGGGGCACGGGGAGCGAGGGGGAGCGAGCGTGGGCGAGGGGAGGTGAGGGGCGGTGAGGGGGAAGGGGTGGAGAAGGAGGGTGCAGGGGTGTAGGGGAGTGGAGTGGGTTTGGAGTGAGGGGTGAGCAGGGCAGGGGGGTGGGGTGTGGTGGGGAGCGATGAGGAGGGAGGGCATGTCATGGCTTTTCCTGTTTAATGTTTGCTTCAGGCACCACGTGATTGTGATTCTACCTTATCCGATAACCTTCACCCGCCATGCATTGCTCTGCCGGACCCTGGGTGTGGTGTGGTGTGGTGTGGTGTGGTGTGGTGTGGTGTGGGGTGGGGTGTAATGTGATGGAATGCGACGGTATGTGCTGTGCACGGGTGCTGCTGTGCTTCTGTGCTGCCTGTGGTGCTGGACTGGCTGTGGTGGTGCATGTGTGTGCAGGCGGAGTGTGAGGGGAGGGTGGTGATGGGGCCCACGGAGGAGCGGCTGGTGGAGGAGCTGAAGCAGCTCAATGCGGACCTGGCTGTTGTTGGCACGCGCGACCACGATGTCATCTCCCGGTGCGTGTGGGCATGTGGGCATGTGGGCATGTGGGCATGTGGGCATGTGGGCATGTGGGCATGTGGGCATGTGGGCATGTGGGCATGTGGGCATGTGGGCATGTGGGCATGTGGGCATGTGGGCATGTGGGCATGTGGGCATGTGGGCATGTGGGCATGTGGGCATGTGGGCATGTGGGCATGTGGGCATGTGGGCATGTGGGCATGTGGGCATGTGGGCATGTGGGCATGTGTGTATGTGGGCATGTGGGCATGTGGGCATGTGGGCATGTGGGCATGTGGACATGTGTGTATGTGTGCATGTGGGCATGTATGTATGTGTGCATGTGGGCATGTGGGCATGTTTGAGGGCAGTGCTTCGAAAACACCAACCTCGGAACTTGTGTGTGAGGCACAAAAAGATGAGAAGGGCCATGCCATGGCAAAGGAATGGTTTCTCAGGATCAGATGCTAACACGTGTGAGCCTCAATCACGGCTTCCTCTCATCTCCAACAGCCAAGTCCCATGCATTCATATTCCCATTCATTCATTCATTCTTCTTCCCCATTTGAACTCTTCTTGCTGTCCCCGTCCTCGTCCCTCACAGCACGTTCCTGGGAAGCGTCAGCGACTATCTCGCTCACAACTGGTAGCCACCCTTCCTTGATTCCCCACTTTCCCTCGTTCCCTCTCGCCCTTCCTTCCACCCCACTTGCCACACCATCATCATAGCCGTGAACTCCTCTTTCCCGAATCTCACTCTCCGCTTCCTCCTTTTCCATTCGCATCAACCCCTCGCTCTACTCTCCACTTCATCCTCTCATCCTGCCACCCCACCCCCCTCATCCATCACCCACACAAAACCCTCCGTTCTCCCACTTTCTTTCCCCACCTCCCCCCCCCCGGTTCCTCTCTCTTCCCGCCTGCTGCCAGCCCGTGTCCATTGGTGGTGGCGAAAATGCCCAAGCCTGCGTCTCGCCCGGGCTCCACCCAGGCCTCTCCCCGCGACTCCCACCAGCATGCCATCTGACTCCCGCCCTCCCACTCCGCTGCCGCTGCTGCTACTTGTGCTGCTGTGAAAGGCTTTGGGAAACGTGACAGCCTGGTTTTTGAGACGTTTCAAGATTGCTTTGGAGCAGCTTCAGGGGTGAGGAGCAGGCATGGCAGGTGTATAGAGAAAAGCTCGGGTGGCAGAAGCTGCTGCAGATGCAGCCACAGCAGGGGGTGGGGATGGGAGTGCATTTCTTTAGGAACCTCAAAAGGAGAGAACATTATATTGCAGGCTAGCACGATCAGAATGGCGCCAGCTGTCCTAAATCCAGCTCGAGCCTTGGGACAATCTTACTGCCGCCCACCCTGCCCCCCTCTCGCTTCTCATTGTTGCCCAAGGCTCCAAACTCAGATCTTCTCACTCTCCTTGCTTATTTAGCTCTACCTTATCAAATGCTCTATGGGTTGCAGCGTCCTCCTTTAGCCAGGCCCCTATTGCCCTTTTGACTTGCTACCTCTGCTTTGTCATTCTGTTCTTATCCCCCTTTGTATTTACCCTTCACTTACCTTTCGATGTTTGGTTGCCCACCGCTTCTTGTAGTTGCGTACTGTATATGCGTTATTTTGTTCCCATTGGTAGTGCATGCATTTTTTCAGAGATCGCATATTGCGCAGATATCTATATCGAACACTGCAGATTCATGGAGTATAAAGTTCATCAATATACTCTGACCTTATGGAAGAGCTGTTTCTTAATATGGAAGTATTTTTAGTTTTTGGCAGGCCAATACTACCGTAGCCTAAATATGTTTGTGATGGGACACAAGCGGATAGTATCGGGCATGTCTCCCTCGGGGCTATCGTGACCATCCATTTTCCCTTTCGAAGGCATTTCCACCTCCCCACACCCACCCCACGGAACCCTACTTGTTTTTCCCTCAACACTTCCATCGATCAAGCTTCTGCCCTGCCTGCCTCGAGATCTCCTTTCTGTGCAAGGCTGCTGTTTTCCCCCGAGATTGGTCTCCTTGGGCTGCTTCTTCGTCAGGGTTCCTGAACCTATTTCCTGAGCTGAGGGAGAATCAGGCCATTTTTTGACATCCTACTCACTTCTGACCCTTAAGAGCTCCCATTTGGACCGTTTGAACTGATTGTTGAGTTTCCGACGGGTTGGATTTGTGTAGGTTATTCGACAATTCAAGTTTCGCGTTCGGATCTGCCTGCTTCTAGTCTAACCTCAAGGCAGCATGACCGATTTCGATGAGTACGAGTATCTGGAGAAGGCGGTAGAGCAGGGAGTCGGAGGGGAAGAGGACGGCGGAGAGCAGGCTCCGGAGGGCGAGGAGAGAAGGAAGAGGGAGGGTGAAAACGGTGCGGGAGAGGACCAGGAAGACGAGAACCGGAGCAAACGGTCTCGTCGAGACGACGACAAGGAGAGGGACCGAGACAGAGATCGCAGTGGGAAGGATCGCGACAGAGACCGTGAGAGGGAGAAGGATAAGGATCGCAGCGGCCGGGACAAAGATCGGGACAAAGATCGGAGCGATCGACACCGCGACAGGGATCGGGACCGCAGCGACCGTGGAGATCGGGACCGCGACAGGGATCGGACTCGCGAGCGGGAAGGACACGATCGGCACAGGGACAGGGACAGAGACCGTGATCGGAGGAGAGGAGACAGAGACCGGGATTACGAGAGGAGGCACAGAGAGTACGTGTGACGCGTGTATTTGCAATTGCTTTGTCGTGCCGTGCAATTAGGAGTATACACCAAGTCTTGATTTTGAGTCGTAGGAAGTCCGGACCTTAGCGTACGCGCTGATCACAGTCGCCCTTGCTGCTGATATTTAGGATCATTTTGCCGTGCAGAAGTTCGCACCCGTCTCGGTCCGTTATGGTCCCGTTCTGTATCAATCTCCGCGATACTGTCACACCTTTATTTTTTTTGCTTGCGTGTGTTGTTTTTCCCGCTCACGGCGTTGCAGTCGGGATAGGCGAGAGAAGAAGGATAAGGAATTGGAGCCAGAGCTTGACCCCGAAAGAGATCAGCGCACCGTGTTTGCCTACCAGGTATGCCGATCAAGTTTCTACAATGTTCTGCCTTGGCGTATCGTCAATGTCTTGTTTTGCACCGTGGTTTTATGGCAGTTGGCCTAATGCGTTTGTCCATCTCTTCTCTCTCCTTGTGCAGATCAATCTCAAGGCGGATGAGAGGGACATCTACGAGTTTTTCACCCAAGCTGGGAAGGTGAGCGAAGTTCCGTGCTGTTACGTACAAGCAGCTTCTGCGCGATTATTTGTAGACCTTTTCCACTCAATTGTTTTGCACGGCAGCACTTCCCCTTAACCAATTCCTTCATTGTGCGATCACAATATCCACTCTCTCATGGTCTTCGCAGTCGCTGCAATTTCGCCTTCCCATGCCGTGACTTGTGTTAATTCTCTCTGTCGCGTCGCTCTCTCGTCTCCCTCCGCTGTTCGTGCCTCTCAGGTGCGCGACGTGCGTCTCATCATGGACCGTAACTCCCGTCGCTCCAAAGGTGTCGGGTCAGTGCCGTTCCCTTGCCCTCTTCTATCCATCTCCTCAACTCCCCACCCCTTAACACCCGTCCCCCTTCCTCAGGTCATTCGTTTCGCCCTCCCTCCCTGCCTCCCTTCGCCTCGTTATCTGCCTTTCTGTGCCCTTGCATTGGTAGCACTATCTCATTCTGTCCTTCCGTCCCCGTTTTTCCCTCACCCCATTTCGTCTCCTCTCCGCTCATGTCCTCCCCCTTTCTTCCGCTCTTTCCTCCTCTCTTCCCCCTTCCCCGCCGGCGCAGCTACATCGAGTTCTACGATGTGATGTCGGTGCCCATGGCTATAGCGCTGTCCGGTCAACTGCTTCTGGGGACGCCCGTGATGGTCAAGCCATCCGAGGCGGAGAAGAATCTCGCGGCGCAGAACCCGCTGCCCGTCGTCGCGGGCATGGGCGGGCTCCCGGGCGTGGCGGGCGCGGGGTTCCTGGTGCCGAGCCTTACGGCGTCGTCGCGGAAGCTGCACGTGGGGAACCTGCACGTGAACATGAACGAGGAGCAGCTGCGCCAGGTGCGCCGTCGCTGTATGCGCGCGCGCGTGTGCTTGCGCGGGTCCTCGCGGGGCTTAGTTGCGGAAGGGGGGAACGGGGCGGGCGAAATTTTTGGGTTGGGGAAGGGGGCGGGGTGTGGGGATTGAGGCGTGAGGAGTGGGGACTGGATGATTGGTATGGTGTGGTTTGCAGGGTTGAGGGATATGATGGATACGAATGGGGATCATGATTGCAGCACGCTGTTTCCACATTCTTGACTCCACATACCTCTTTTCGACTCTCTTCTCCCTTTCCCCTCCGCTCCCGCCCCACCCTTGTCTCCTTTCCTCTCTTGTTATGTCCCCTCCCCGCTTTGCCCATCAACCAGCTTTGTCCGTTTTTTCCCTCCCATTTCGTTGTGCTTTTTTCGGCTTTATTATATCACCATCGCTTTCACCACCCTACCACGTTTACCATGGAGCAAAACTGTTTTGTAGAACTTATTAAGGTTACAGGATGGGAAGCAGTGGTACATAATCGTGTGTGTGTGGTGTGCGTGTGCACGGATGCATGTGTGGGGTGTATGTATGTGGATGTGTCTGTCTGTGTGCGTGCATGTGTCTATGTGCGTGCATTTGTGTGTGTGCGTGCGTGCGTGCGTGTGTGTGTGCGCGCGTGGGTGTGTGTGGGTGTGTGTGGGTGTGTGTGTGCGTGTGTGTGTGTGTGTGTGTGTGTGTGTGTGTGTGTGTGTGTGTGTGTGCATGTGTGTGTGTGCAGGTGTTTGAGCCGTTTGGGGAGCTGGAGCTGGTGCAAGTTCCCACAGAGGACTCTGGAAAGTGCAAGGGATTTGGCTTCGTCACGGTGAGCCTTGCCTGCCTTTCATGCCCTTTCTTCCTCTCCTGCCTTTCCTGCCCTTTCTTCCTCTCCTGCCTTTCCTGCCCTTTCTTCCTCTCCTGCCTTTCCTGCCCTTTCTTCCTCTCCTGCCTTTCCTGCCCTTTCTTCCTCTCCTGCCTTTCCAGCCCCTTCTTCCTCCCCTACCGCTCTCAACCGCTCTGTCACAGCTCAAGTCAGGCCCTGCAAAACGAGTCGTTTCCTCCTGTTGGCCTAGCACTCGCTAGATGCCTTTTTCCTGTGAATGCCACTGCATATGTGCCAGGCTAGCCATTCTCCATTCCAACCGCTTGCCATGCACTGGGTATAGCACTTGGCGTAGCACCGTCTCGGGCTGTATCCCTAATTCCAGGCGCATTGTGTGCCGTGCTCTGTCTCTTCTCCCCTGCGTTCTTCTCTCGCCGCGTGCCCTGGATGTCGTCGCACCACAGTATGCCAAGGTGGAGGACGCACGGATGGCAGGCAGCAACCTGCAGGGCCTTGAACTCGCAGGACTCGCTATCAAGGTGAGGGAGAGCGAAAGGGGGAGGCGAGGGTGAGGGTGAGGGTGAGGGAGGGAGTGAGAAGGGGAAGGGCAATGAGGGGTTCATGGTGAATCGGTTTGTTTGTGACGTAGACTTATTGTAGCTGGAATGATCTGCCCGGCAATTACCACTGCTGCTGTTGCTGCTGCTGCTGCCGCTGCCTCTGCAACTGCAGTTTTGCACCCAGTGGTTGCTGTGCTCACTGGTTTGGTGTTTGCCTCTGTGCGTTGACTGATCCCAGATTACTCCTGTGCCTGACACCTATGGCGTGGCTGACGCAGTGCAAGCAGTGCCAGGGCAACTGGACGAGGGCGAGGGTGGCATGGTGAGTCTCCTGATTCTTTCCCCCATCATCCGTCTGCTGCTGTTTCCCTGTTGTCTGGTTCTTTCTGCTGTGTCCTCGACTGTACCTGTGGTTTTTTTCAACAACCTTCCATCCCTATTGATCCCCCCTCCTCACTCCTTCCCACACCCTCCAACACCACGTTTCTCTTATCGTTCTTCCAATGCACAGGCTCTGACAGCGCAGTCTCGTGCAGCTCTTATGATGAAGCTCGACCGCACAGGGTAACGCTTCTCTCATTATTAGCCTTTCAGCCTTTCGATCCTTGCTCTGTCTTTCACCTGCAATCAATAAAACACCCTGCCTCACCCGTCCCCCCTTGCTGTCTCGCTCATTCCCGTGCCACATCTCACTCACGCACACTCCTGCATTTGCTGTTCCGCCACCTCTCACTCCTCTGCTCTGCAGGGTGGCAGGGGCGCCGGTGCTGCCATCACCAGCAGCGGTGAACCCAGCAGCCATGGGTCTTCTCAGCAGCAGCCCCTTGGCCGCCATGGGTCTCCGCCCTCCCATCCTGCCTCCTGCTGGCGGCGGCCTCGCGTCCATCCCTGGGGGAGCAGCAGCCGCAGCAGCAGCAGCAGCAGCGGCAGCGAACCCGCTCATTGCTGCCGCTGCCGCTGCTGGTGGCGGGACGCCGCTGCCCCCTCCTGCTGCGGCAGCTGCTGCTGCTATGGCGGCAGCAGCTGCAGCAGCTGGTGGTGGTGCTGCTCCAGCTGCTGCTGCTGCGGCGCCTGCGGCAGCAGAGGTGGTGGGGCCGCCTACGGAGTGTCTTCTACTCACCAACATGTTCGACCCGTCTCAGGATGTATGTGTGCTCATCTGTCCTGCACAAGTGCGTGTCGTTGCTTTTTTGGGACTTGCGTGGGTCCTCTTTGTGTGACCCCTTTCCGCCAACCGCTCCCCCCGTCTCCCCTTGCGTTCGTCCTCGCGCTCCACTTTTAGCCCTGAACTTTTTTTTTTCAACACCAATTGCTGTTCCGCACATTTTCCTCCCCTCCCCCTTCTTCCCGTTCCCTTCTCCCGCTTTCTCCCCTCCCCTCTCTCCCTTCGCCACCCTCCGTCCTCCCATGACTGTGCCTGTGCCTGTGTGTGTGCATGTGTGCGGGGCTGGGCGCGTGCAGATTGACGAGGAGTTTGAGCAGGACATACGGGAGGACGTGGAGGACGAGTGCACCAAGTTTGGCCCAGTCAAGAAGGTCAATGTCGACCGGTGAGTGCTGCTCAACGCCCAACTGTGTCCCTGCTGTAGGATTGGGCCTGTGGAAGACTGCTGGGTGTATGGGGCACAGTGGGGTGCACGTTCATGGAATGGAAGGGATGGTTGTGTATGGATTGGTATTTGGTCGTTTTCTGCTGTCCTCTGGAAACTCATGTCGTGTTTATTTACTCTTCAAACCTCCCTAGTCCCAGCCCAATCTGACGCCCCCTCGCTGCCTCTCTTTCACTATCCCTCCCTCCACTCCCCTCATCCCCTATGTTTGCGACATCCTCTTTTCCAACGCTTCGTTTCCCGCCTGAGCAGGCACAGCAGTGGGCACGTGTATGTGCTGTTTGAGTCGGCCACATCTGCAGCAGCAGCCCGTGCGGCACTGCACAACCGCTACTTTGCTGGCAAGGCCATCAGCGCCACCTTCATTGTAAGCACGCATGGACACACATGCACCTCTGCCATACCGTGTGGCTGCCTCATACATGTTCCTGTCAAAGGCTTTTCCGTGAGGTGGCCAGGGGGGAGGGTAAAGGGATGTGGGCATTTGGAGAGACAGGGATGGGGTAAGGAGGAGGAGGATTGTGTTGCTTGAACTTCTTGGTTCTTTTTACATTCTTTTGACTTTCTGTTTTCTGTTTGTTGCTGTTTGTCCGCCCTTGGTTTCTTTGTGCTTCTTTGCTGCAGACTCCTGCGCAAGTGGCGGCCAAGTTTGGTGCCACGTAGAAGTGTGGTGCCCTGTGCAGGTGCAGGAGCAGGAGCAGGTGGAAGAGCAGGTGCAGGTGCAGGGCTGGCAGACAGACAGTAGCGGATTGAAGGCTCAAGAATGAAGGCTCTTGGCGATGCCATGGGAGATTCGCTGGAAGGGATGGGTTTGTATCTGCTGCTGCTTCTACTGCTGCTGCTGCTGCTGCTGCGCCGCTGTCTGCTGCTTCTGGCTTCTGGCCGAATGCTCTCATGCGTCTCAAGTAATTGGTGGCAGAGAGTCAAGTCGCTTCGCCAGAGAGAGTCCGGTTGGAAGTGGTTGGAGTACCCAAGTCAAGTGAAGACCCCCCCTCTGTGTTTTCTCTTGGGCTCGTACGGGCTGCTTGAGCAGTGCTGCTGGTGGTGGTGGTGGTGCGGTTGGTGGTCGTGCTGGTGGTGGTGCTGCTGCAGTGTGGCCTTTTCTCCCGTGCGCCTGCTACTCGGCGTCACCTCACCACTTCTGGCTCTGCTTCTGGCCGCTTGCCCATGCGACTCAAGACCTGCTGCTGCTGGCGTTTCTGGCATGGGGTGGCATGGCATGGCATGGCATGGCATCCATAGCTGCCGTGTGCTTCAAAGGGTTTAGGGTGGCACCTTGTGTGCTTCTGATTGCCTGCGTTTCCATCTCCTTCCCTAGCTTCCCACTAATTTCATCACCAACCAACCATCCACGGAGAAATCTTTCGTCGCTTGTGACACTCACCTTGTCTCTTCGCTCCTTCCCATGGTTGCCCCAGGTCCTAGGCTCTTGAGAATCACGAACCTCGGGTTCTGCACCCGCCCATTCCCTGCTTGTTGGATCGATTCGATACTGTTACCCTTCCATGTGTCCGGAATTTGACCCTGCACACGCATTTGATTTGGTTCTTGCTGCAAAAAAGGCTACGATATTTTGTGTGTTTGAATGGCTGAGACATGCAGTAGGTGAGTCGCTGTTGTGATTTCTATGCTTCAGCTACCAGTTACAAGTTCTTCGGTGTTGAGCCATAATATCTATGGTTATATGCGCAATAGAGTCGCTTCCGTACCGCAACCCAGGCCTTCGTTATCGGGTTTTTGCTACCATACGCCTGTCACGGGAAAGATGTTTCCTCGCTAAACTTCTCGTGATGGCTGCTGCGGCAGCGGCAGCGCCGGTTGCGCGGGCGGCGGCAAACCGTCTACTTCATCCTTACTGCGCCGTCACGCGCGCTGCGAACGCGTGCTCTAGCCAACGGATCGGTTTTCGCTCATCTAGTCACAGCCATTCGGCTACAGCTGGTACTGCCGGGTATAATGGCAATAAGAACGCCTGCGGGTGTACTTGCGGGAGGGGAGTCACCGGAAGCGCTGTTGTTTGCGGAACTGCGCCGGCGCATGTTCCGCGCGCGCCCGCGGAGTTTTCCGCCAGGGCGGCTGTTGCGCCTTCCGCGGGGGGCGCTCTTTCTAGTCTCTGGTCGCGCAGTTGCCCGCCCAGGCGATGGCGGAGTGCGCCAGCTGCGATGGGCGGGGCGCAATCCGCGGACTCCGCCGATGGAGCAGCGGCTGTCGGAACTGGCGCGGAAGCCGGAACTCCCCGAAACCCCTCTCCTTTCCCCCTTCCAAGCACGTTCCCTGTCCCCCTCACCTTACCTCTCACCCTCCAACAACCACCCAGCAGCAGCAGCAGCAGCAGCAGCGACAACGTGAACGACGACGCGCAGGTGGAGGAGTTGACGAGCGAGGAGGTGATCGGCGCGCTGCAGCCGCTGATCGAGGCGCAGCGCTGGCAGCGCATGGCGCAGGCGGTGCGCGCGCGCACGTTCGCGGTGGTGCCCGTGGTGGAGGGGCTGGCGGACCTCGGGAATGTCTCGGCCGTGTGCCGCACTGCTGATGGGCTGGGGTTCCAAAACGTGCATGTCATCACCACCCGCAGCTATGGGGATGCTGATGGCTCTGCTGCTGCTGCTGGTCCCGCTGGTGCCGCTGGTGCTGCTGCTGCTGGTGCAGCTGGTGCTGCTGCTGGTGGTGCTGCTGCTGCTGCTGCTGGTGCAGCTGGTGCTGCGGGTAGGGGTATTACTGACGTGTGGAGTGGTGGTGGGACCTATGGAAAGGAGTACCTGTCGTGGGAGTTTGAGAGCGATAGTGACGGTGAGAGCAGTGATGGTGCAGCGGTTGTGGTGAGCGGGAAGAAGAAGAAGAAGAAGGGGAGGAGGAAGGGCGGGCCTATGAACATGTACAGGCAGAGTGCGCGAGTGAGCATGGGGGCGGACAAGTGGTTGCATGTGGAGACTTGGGATACCACGGGGGAGTGCCTCCAGGAGCTCAAGAAACGGGGTTACCGCATCGCCGTCACGTCCCTCTCTGATCGAACTGTAAGATGATTTGTCACGAGAATGTTTCCTCTCTTGCCGTTTGGTTCTTGGGTCTGCTTGCCTTTCGTTACCATGAATCACCCAGTCAGTGCTTCTGCTGGATCACCATGCATGGTGAATGCATCTGCGCGATGACCGCCATGCAACTCACCACCCACCCACCACCACCATGACCATGCGTGCGGTGATGGGTTATATTGTATGTGTGTGCAGGTGCCTATATACGACGTGGACTGGACGATACCTACTGCTATTGTCTTTGGCAACGAGCACAGGTGCGTCTGCTCCTGCTTCTGCTTCTGCTTCTGCTTCTGCTTCTGCTTCTGCTGCTGCCCACTGCCGCCACTGCCTCACCGCTCCTGTTGACACCTGTCGCTCACTTGCCGTTTTCTGTCAGAGCAGATCTCCATCTTCGTTCGTCCCTCGTTGTAACCCGCACTTCCCTGGCCCCAACCAAGCATCCCCTGCGCACCCACCGATCAACCAACACTCACTGTGCACCCACGCACCCACGCACCCACGCACCCACGCACCCACGCACCCACGCACCCACGCACCCACGCACCCACGCACCCACGCACCCACGCACCCACGCACCCACGCACCCACGCACCCACGCACCCACGCACCCACGCACCCACGCACCCACGCACCCACGCACCCACGCACCCACGCACCCACGCACCCACGCACCCACGCACCCACGCACCCACGCACCCACGCACCCACGCACCCACGCACCCACGCACCCACGCACCCACGCACCCACGCACCCACGCACCCACGCACCCACGCACCCACGCACCCACGCACCCACGCACCCACGCACCCACGCACCCACGCACCCACGCACCCACGCACCCACGCACCCACGCACCCACGCACCCACGCACCCACGCACCCACGCACCCACGCACCCACGCACCCACGCACCCACGCACCCACGCACCCACGCACCCACGCACCCACGCACCCACGCACCCACGCACCCACGCACCCACGCACCCACGCACCCACGCACCCACGCACCCACGCACCCACGCACCCACGCACCCACGCACCCACGCACCCACGCACCCACGCACCCACGCACCCACGCACCCACGCACCCACGCACCCACGCACCCACGCACCCACGCACCCACGCACCCACGCACCCACGCACCCACGCACCCACGCACCCACGCACCCACGCACCCACGCACCCACGCACCCACGCACCCACGCACCCACGCACCCACGCACCCACGCACCCACGCACCCACGCACCCACGCACCCACGCACCCACGCACCCACGCACCCACGCACCCACGCACCCACGCACCCACGCACCCACGCACCCACGCACCCACGCACCCACGCACCCACGCACCCACGCACCCACGCACCCACGCACCCACGCACCCACGCACCCACGCACCCACGCACCCACGCACCCACGCACCCACGCACCCACGCACCCACGCACCCACGCACCCACGCACCCACGCACCCACGCACCCACGCACCCACGCACCCACGCACCCACGCACCCACGCACCCACGCACCCACGCACCCACGCACCCACGCACCCACGCACCCACGCACCCACGCACCCACGCACCCACGCACCCACGCACCCACGCACCCACGCACCCACGCACCCACGCACCCACGCACCCACGCACCCACGCACCCACGCACCCACGCACCCACGCACCCACGCACCCACGCACCCACGCACCCACGCACCCACGCACCCACGCACCCACGCACCCACGCACCCACGCACCCACGCACCCACGCACCCACGCACCCACGCACCCACGCACCCACGCACCCACGCACCCACGCACCCACGCACCCACGCACCCACGCACCCACGCACCCACGCACCCACGCACCCACGCACCCACGCACCCACGCACCCACGCACCCACGCACCCACGCACCCACGCACCCACGCACCCACGCACCCACGCACCCACGCACCCACGCACCCTCGCACCCACGCACCCACGCACCCACGCACCCACGCACCCACGCACCCTCGCACCCACGCACCCACGCACCCACGCACCCTCGCACCCACGCACCCACGCACCCACGCACCCACGCACCCACGCACCCACGCACCCACGCACCCACGCACCCACGCACCCTCGCACCCACGCACCCACGCACCCACGCACCCTCGCACCCACGCACCCACGCACCCACGCACCCACGCACCCACGCACCCACGCACCCACGCACCCTCGCACCCACGCACCCACGCACCCACGCACCCACGCACCCACGCACCCACGCACCCACGCACCCACGCACCCACGCACCCACGCACCCACGCACCCACGCACCCACGCACCCACGCACCCACGCACCCTCGCACCCACGCACCCACGCACCCACGCACCCACGCACCCACGCACCCACGCACCCACGCACCCTCGCACCCACGCACCCACGCACCCTCGCACCCACGCACCCACGCACCCTCGCACCCACGCACCCACGCACCCACGCACCCACGCACCCACGCACCCACGCACCCACGCACCCACGCACCCACGCACCCACGCACCCACGCACCCACGCACCCACGCACCCACGCACCCACGCACCCACGCACCCACGCACCCACGCACCCACGCACCCACGCACCCACGCACCCACGCACCCACGCACCCACGCACCCACGCACCCACGCACCCACGCACCCACGCACCCACGCACCCACGCACCCACGCACCCACGCACCCACGCACCCACGCACCCACGCACCCACGCACCCACGCACCCTCGCACCCACGCACCCACGCACCCACGCACCCACGCACCCACGCACCCACGCACCCACGCACCCACGCACCCACGCACCCACGCACCCACGCACCCACGCACCCACGCACCCACGCACCCACGCACCCACGCACCCACGCACCCACGCACCCACGCACCCACGCACCCACGCACCCACGCACCCTCGCACCCACGCACCCACGCACCCACGCACCCACGCACCCACGCACCCACGCACCCACGCACCCACGCACCCACGCACCCACGCACCCACGCACCCACGCACCCTCGCACCCACGCACCCACGCACCCACGCACCCACGCACCCACGCACCCACGCACCCTCGCACCCACGCACCCACGCACCCACGCACCCACGCACCCACGCACCCACGCACCCTCGCACCCACGCACCCACGCACCCACGCACCCTCGCACCCACGCACCCACGCACCCACGCACCCACGCACCCACGCACCCACGCACCCACGCACCCTCGCACCCACGCACCCACGCACCCACGCACCCACGCACCCACGCACCCACGCACCCACGCACCCACGCACCCACGCACCCACGCACCCACGCACCCACGCACCCACGCACCCACGCACCCACGCACCCTCGCACCCACGCACCCACGCACCCACGCACCCACGCACCCTCGCACCCACGCACCCACGCACCCTCGCACCCACGCACCCACGCACCCTCGCACCCACGCACCCACGCACCCTCGCACCCACGCACCCACGCACCCACGCACCCACGCACCCACGCACCCACGCACCCACGCACCCACGCACCCACGCACCCACGCACCCACGCACCCTCGCACCCACGCACCCACGCACCCACGCACCCACGCACCCACGCACCCTCGCACCCACGCACCCACGCACCCTCGCACCCACGCACCCACGCACCCACGCACCCACGCACCCACGCACCCACGCACCCACGCACCCACGCACCCACGCACCCACGCACCCACGCACCCACGCACCCACGCACCCTCGCACCCACGCACCCACGCACCCACGCACCCACGCACCCTCGCACCCACGCACCCACGCACCCTCGCACCCACGCACCCACGCACCCTCGCACCCACGCACCCACGCACCCTCGCACCCACGCACCCACGCACCCACGCACCCACGCACCCACGCACCCACGCACCCACGCACCCACGCACCCACGCACCCACGCACCCACGCACCCACGCACCCTCGCACCCTCGCACCCACGCACCCACGCACCCACGCACCCACGCACCCACGCACCCACGCACCCTCGCACCCACGCACCCACGCACCCACGCACCCACGCACCCACGCACCCACGCACCCTCGCACCCACGCACCCACGCACCCACGCACCCTCGCACCCACGCACCCACGCACCCACGCACCCACGCACCCACGCACCCACGCACCCTCGCACCCACGCACCCACGCACCCACGCACCCACGCACCCTCGCACCCACGCACCCACGCACCCTCGCACCCACGCACCCACGCACCCTCGCACCCACGCACCCACGCACCCTCGCACCCACGCACCCACGCACCCACCCACGCACCCACGCACCCACCCACCCACCCACCCACCCACCCACCCACCCACCCACCCACCCACCCACCCATGCACCCACGCACCCACCCACCCGTGTCAACCATCCCCGTCTGTTCTGTGCAGCGGTGTGTCAGAGGAGGTGGAGCGCGCAGCAGACGTGGTGGTGGGCATCCCCATGGTGGGCATGGTCGAGTCCTTTAACATCTCCGTCGCTGCCGCCCTCACCCTGCACCACGCCGCCCGCATGCGCCTCGCCTCCCTGGTGCGTGCGTGCGTGGAGTCACCTTTAAGATTTCCTGATAAAAAGCTCCCACCCGGCACCCAGCTCCACATGTGCGTCTCCCATTTTTGGTGTGTGCCACACTGCTTCTGAGGTGTTTCAGACCGAGCACCTCTGCTGCATGGGAGGGGTGCAAATGCTGGTATGGGCATGGGCGTGGGAGTGGAAATGGGGATGGGCGTAGGGATTTGGACAGCCCTGTGACCCTTTCCTGTTGTTAGTCGTTATGAGTGCAGGGCCGTTGCTCCATTGGGCATGCAACCCTGTGTGGGTTGTCGGAGCAGGGAGCGTGATTATGCTGACAAACAACTGTGTGTGTCCGTGTGGGTGTGTATGTGTTGGCACACGTGTGTGTGTGTGTGCGCGTGTGCGTCTGCCTGTGTGTTCGTGCGTGTGTGTGCACGCGTGCACATTGCACACCAACAGGGCTATCACGGGGACTTAACACCAGAGCAGCAGCGCATTCTGCTAGCGCACTTCGCCCTGCGCCATCGCGGCTTCCGCTCCCGCAGTGTCGTGGAGCACCTAGTACACACTCGCGCCAAGGCCGCTGCTCAACATGCTGCCGCCCTTGCTGCTGCCGCTGCTGCAGCCACTTCTCACAGCACTGACGCTGCTGCTGCTGCTGCTGCTGCAGTTTCTGATGACGCTGCTGCTGCTGCTGCTGCTGCTGCTGGCAGGAGTGGTGGTGAATTTAGACTGGGCAGCGCACGGCTGGGGGCATCAGCACAGAGGGTGGAGAGGCCTGTGGGGGAAGAGAGGCGCGCAGGTGCTGCTGCAACGGAGGCTGGTAGTGATGCTTTTGCAGCTGCTGCAGCTGCTGCTGGTGGTGGTTTTGGGCCCAGTGGTATCCGTTACGCAGCAGAGGTGCCACCGATTGGTTGCTGAGGGGAATCCAGCTGATACTAAGTCTGGTTGCAGCAGAGACATTATAGCGCTTGTTAGTGTTACCTACCAGTAGTCCTAGTAGTAGACGTGTCCTTTAACTGATAGGGGAAGCTGCTTGTGCTGTGGTACCGTACCTTATAGGACAACGACTTCCTAATTGGGTGCTGTGGTGCCAGCATTGAGTCTCAAATGCAGGCAGTAAGCAATACCCTCTGAACAAACCCATAGCACGGTCTGTGAGTGTGCCTGCCACCAGTAACCCAGGCAACAACTTCCTCCCTGGTCACCTACGGTATTTCAATGTCTTGCAACAAAGTGGACACAGGACCGCAGGTACCGTAACCCGCATGTTGAGATACAAACACAAACCATCTTATGTCATGCGCCATGCGCCCTTGGGACGTGCCATGGCATGGCATGGTGCCATACGCATGCGCTGTTAGAGAAAGTAAATCACATCCATAGGCATGGCATGGCATGGCATGGCATGGCATGGCATGGCATGGCATGGCCCCTATCCTCCGCATGACTCATTCCGTGGGTGATGCCATTGCCATGCATCATGTTGCCATACTATGACGAGCGAGCACCACCTACTAGAGTACCGGTACCGGTACCGGTACCGGTACCGGTACCAAGCAGGTCTGTCTGTGGTACTGGTACCTATGTCGCACCAGCGCAACGCATGCATGGCACAACGCGGCGCGGATGCAGAGGGCCAAGCTAAGCTGAGTGACGCATAACGCAAGCATGCAAAACCAAACCCATCGAGAACACATCCCATCGTCGTGTCATGCTATGCCACGGCATGGCAAGGCATGCCATCATGCCCTGTGGTCGGCACCCACTGCATCCTCCACCGACTCAAACCCATCCCGTGCCAGACACTCTGCTAGCTCACGCTGCACACACACACAGATGGGGGCAACGGATGGGGGCAACGGATGGGGGCAATGACAAGTGTAAGGGCAGGTAAGCACATGTCAGTCACTCTGCTAACTCCCTCTGCACTCACGGGGTTAGCAGAGTGCAGGGGCAAAGAATAGAGAGGGGCAATGGACTGGGTGAGGTGTGGTGCAGGGGCAGGTAAGAGAAGGCGAGGCAGGTGGCAACACAACACAGCACAGCACAGCACAGCACAGGACAGCACAGGACAGAAACAGGGACGGGGTGCTGTAGCGGGCATGACGTCTGCGTGCGAGCACCCACATGCATGCATTGCACTGTGCTTGCAGTTTGACAGAGGATGGCATGTGAGGAGGGTTTAGGGGAGGGAGGGAGCGGGGGAGCAGCAGGGAGCAGGAGGCCCAAATACCTTGATTCTGGGCAGCACTCCTGCACCCTCATACACCATGGCTGTGTATATCTGCACCAGCGATGCTCCCGCGCGTATCTTGGCATACGCATCGGCGCCGCTGGTGAAGGGGGAAGGCCAAGGGGGTGGAGGTTCGTGCAGGGGGGAGTGAGTATGTGAGTGAGCGAGTGCGTGAGTGGTTGAGTGCGTGGGTGCGTGAGTGAGCGAGTAGGTGAGTGAGGGCGGCAAGAGGTTCACAAACTTGAGCCTGTGCAGATGCAGCAGATGCAGGAGGTTGGGGCGTGGTTGAACTGGTAAACGAGGAACAGGAAAAGGATGCACGGCAACGTGGGGCACACAGGGGGTCTGCACTGCACTGCACTGCACTGCACTGCACTGCACTGCACTGCCATGTGGAAGTCAGTGTGGTTGGGGTGGGGGTGCCGCCGCATTGGCATTGGCATTGGCATTGGCATGTCCCATAAATGTGTGCATTCATGAGAGATGGACGAGCTGAAAGGGTGAGAAACGAAAAAATGACGTCGCCGTACCTGAAGATGCCTCCACATCCTATTAATGTGATCCGACCCTGCAGTAAGGCGTGGGGCGCACACAAGCGGCGGAGATGGATAGATGGGATGGGTGTGTAGCAACAAGGGGCCCAGGTTTGAGGCACAGGCGGAAACGCGATGGCGAGAGACGAGGGAGGAAAGCCACGCATGCAAGCAACAGAGTCAGTCAGCCAGACGCCCATCTATCAAACAAACAGAGGAAAGTCAGGGAGAAAACGGCAGAGTCAGGCCGGGCCAGCTTGTAATAGTTTTGAGAGTTGTCACATGGGCAAGGGCAACGGGGACAAACTCCATGCACGCAAACTCCATGCACACAAACTCCATGCACACAAACTCCATGCACACAAACTCCATGCACACCAACTCCATGCACCTTGGTGAGGCGGTAGAAGTGGGCATGACTGCAGTGGGTCAAGAAAGCTAGCATAGTGGTTCAAAAGCACAAACGCACACACGCACCTTAGTGAGGCGATACATCTCGACTTTTGAGGCGCCTCAGAAGTCGACTGTAGTGGTTCAAAAGCACAAACGCACACACGCACGCACGCACGCACCTTAGTGAGGCGATACATCTCGCGCAGTGTGTGCATGGAGGGGTCGAAGAGCGGGCGGCCACTGAGGCCCCCGGGCTCATCTGCATGCAGTAGGCCCAGCACAGAGTCAGGCCGCGACACCGTTGTGTTGCCCACTATCTGATCGCTCCCCCCAGGGGCGTGGGGGATGGGCAGAGCACGTGGGGGAGTGCAGATGGGGAGTGCGGTTGGGTTGGGAGTTCCATGGGGAATAGGGTTTGGGATGGAAAGGGCAGGGAGGGTGGGTGGGAGAGAAGGACGAAAGGGTCAGATCAGAAGGGTGGAGGGGAGAAGGGGGGGGGGGGGGAATGGGGCGGGCATGCTGAGAAGGGTTCTGAGATTGTATGCTTCATTGATTCATTGAAGGTTTGGAGAAAAGATTTTGGGGAAAGCAGACAGGCAAAACTACGGGTGTGAGCGGAATATGGAGTGAATGAGTGAATGAGAGAGCGAGAGAGAGAGAGAGAGAGAGAGAGAGAGAGAGAGAGAGAGAGAGAGAGAGAGAGAGAGAGAGAGAGAGAGAGAGAGAGAGAGAGAGAGAGAGAGAGCAGGGTGGGTGGCATGGGAGGGAGGCAGGGAGTGCACTGACCAGGCCATCGAGCTTGAGAGAGAGGGCAACCTGCAGGAGTGAGGGAGGGAGAGAGAGAGGGGCGGGACACAGAACAGCAGTTGCTGATGGTGTTCACGGAAACAAGACAAGTTAAAGGCTCGAGAAGGAGAGGAGCAGGAGAGGGGCAGGAAAGGAAGAAAGTGAGCAACCACAGGTTAGAGAAATGACAGTGCAGTGCAGCACAGAAGAGAAAGGGAAGGAGAAGCTGAGCGAGAAGCGGAAGGGGAGTGGGAAGGGGAGTGGGAAGGGGAGTGGGAAGGGGAGTGGGAAGGGGAGTGGGAAGGGGAGTGGGAAGGGGAAGGGGGAAGGGGAAGGAGAAGGGGAAGGAAAAGAATAAGGGGAAGGGGGAAAGGGAGGGAGGGGAAGGCAAGAAGCAGCAGCGACTGACAGCGGCAATGTCGGCCATGTCCTGCTGTGAGAGGCCCGGGGAGATCTAGTTAGAGGTCTGCCAAGTCCTGCGGTCCCGAGAAACGGATTCTCAAAACTCACAGCGGCAATGTCGGCCATGTCCTGCTGTGAGAGGTCCGGGGAGATCTTGAGCAGCAGCGGCGGGGGGCCGTCCTCGCCCCACTGCATCTCCTCCCGCGCGGCCAGCACCTCCTTGAGCAGCCCGTGCAGGTGCCGCCGCCCCTGCAGCTTCCTCAGTCCGGGGGTATTGGGCGAGGACACATTCACGACGAGGAAATCCGCATACTGTGCGAGGGTGTGCATGCCCTGCACGAAATCCTCAGCAGCGTCGTCCGTCCACTTGTTCTTCCCCAGGTTCACCCCCACCAGCCCGCGCCTGCCCGCGCTCCCCCCTGCGGCTGCGGGGGCTGCAGCGCGGTCCTTGCCCGTCTTGAGCCCCTCAGGTTTCTCCACGGCCCGCCGCCTGCCCTGCTGCGCGCCAAGCCGCTCCGCCACTGCTGCTATGCCCTCACTGTTGAACCCGTACCGGTTAATCACCGCCCTGAAGGAGGGGGTGAAGTCATGGGGGAGGGAAAACAAGGGGAGGAGGGACTTTCAAGACATCGAGCACGTTCGCCACTGCTGCTATGCCCTCGCTGTTGAACCCGTACCGGTTGATCACTGCCCTGAGGGGGGTGGAGTGAGGAATGGGGGAAGGCGGTAGCAACGAAACAGGTGTGGCAGCTTGGGGGTGTCAATGGGCGCAATAAACGGCAGCCAGCACACAGAACCCCACAACCCCCAACCCCCAACCCCCAACCAGCACCCACCAACTACCCACTCCCACCCACCCACCCACTAACCCACCCACCCACTTTTGCTCCGGGATCCTCCAAACTCTTGGCTTAGGATTCCCCGGCTGCGGCGCAGGAGTAACACTGCCAATCTCCATGAACCCAAAACCCATGCCCAGAATCCCATCCACTGCGCGGCCATCCTTGTCAAAGCCCGCAGCCAGCCCCACAGGGTTGGGAAAGATGCGGTTCCAGAGGGCAATGCAGAGGGACGGCGGGTCGGGGCGGTGCTCGTGCGGCACGAGGGAGAGCTCCGCTGAGAGGAGAGCGAGGCGGTGCGCTGCCTCTGGGTCGAGCAGGCGCAGGAAGGGGGTGAGGGCGTCTGCTGCTGCAAACGACCACTTGCTGGAAGAGGAGGGGATGGGGAAGGGTGGGGAGGAGGCGTGGGAGGGAGGGAGAAGGGATGTATGGGAGGGAAGCATGGTCAGGGGCATGAGGGGTTTGGGGTTGGGGAAGGCGCGGGTCCAAAGACCATGCAGAGGGACGGCGGGTCAGGGCGGTGCTCGTGCGGCACGAGGCAGAGCTCAGCTGAGAGGAGAGCGAGGTGGTGCGCTGCCTCTGGGTCGAATAGGCGCAGGAAGGGGGTGAGTGCATCGGCAGCTGCGAAAGACCACCTGCTGGGGTGGTGGGAGCATGTGGGGGGGAGTGGGGATTGGGAGGGAGTGCGGGGGGGAGCATGGGGAAGTATTGAGGGGTGTGTGTGTGTGTGTGTGTGTGTGTGTGTGTGTGTGTGTGTGTGTGTGAGTGTGTGTGCGTCCCAGCCCAGGGTTCAGGGTCTAATTTTCTGAGTTCGGAACTTTCAACCAACATTCCTTGACTAAAATCATGGCCACCACCCACATTCCACCCCCCCACCCCATCCCATCCCATGCCATACCATGCCATCCCACCCATGCCATGCGATGCCATGCCATGCGCCAGGGCACCTGATGGTCTGGGCATTCTGTGTGCTGAGCAAACTTTTGAGGCGCCTCAAAAGATGCCATGCGATGCCATGCGGCAGCGCACCTGATGGTCTGGGGGTCCTGTGTGCTGAGCAGCACACCCGCAGTCAGGGTGGACCCCACCAGCGTCGCCCCCGCCAAACGCGCCTGCAGGAAGGTGAAATGCGGGGAGTGAGAGTGTGTTTTTTGAGAATAAGCTGACTTTTGAGTCGACTCAAAAGTCAGGTGGGAATGCGGGGAGTTAGAGTGTGTTTTTTGAGAATTCTCAAAAAACACACGCAGGAGAAAGAAGGCGGTAACGGGATGGTTGTGCGCGGTGGGAAAGCAGGGGGGAGCGGGGAGGAGTGTGAGAAAGGGCGAAAGGGGATAGAGAGTGGGGACGGTGGGGACGGCGTGAGTGGAAGAGGGTTGCGGATGGAAGCATGTGCTATGGCTTGTGAAGCAACAGCAGCAACAGCAGCAACAGCAACAGCAGCAGCAACAGCAACAGCAACAGCAACAGCAACAGCAACAGCAACAGCAACAGCAGCAGCAGCAGCAACAGCAACAGCAACAGCAGCAACAGCAACAGCAGCAGCAACAGCAACAGCAACAGCAACAGCAACAGCAACAGCAGCAGCAACAGCAGCAGCAACAGCAGCAGCAACAGCAACAGCAACAGCAGCAGCAACAGCAGCAGCAACAGCAGCAGCAACAGCAGCAGCAACAGCAGCAGCAACAGCAGCAGCAAAAGCAGCAGCAACAGCAACAGCAACAGCAGCAGCAACAGCAGCAGCAACAGCAGCAGCAACAGCAGCAGCAACAGCAGCAGCAACAGCAGCAGCAACAGCAGCAGCAACAGCAGCAGCAACAGCAGCAGCAACAGCAGCAGCAACAGCAGCAGCAACAGCAACAGCGATAGGAGGAAGCAAAAGTGGGCGGTGGGGGAGGCGGCTGCAGGTGCGGGTGCGGGTGCGGGTGCGGGTGCGGGTGCGGGTGCGGGTGCGGGTGCGGGTGCGGGTGCGGGTGCGGGTGCGGGTGCGGGTGCGGGTGCGGGTGCGGCGGTACCCAGTGTGTTTTCGGTCTGCTAGCAGCAGATGACGCGCCTCCCTTCGCCCCGCCAGCGCCAGTCCCGGCTGCGGCTGCAGCTGCAGCAGCTGTTGTTGCTGCCGCCGACACCACTGCTGCCGTTCCCACTCCTTCGGTAGCAGCAGCAGCAGCAGCAGCAGGTGGTAAAGGCCGCAGCTTGCGAGGCAGCGCGAGCATTAGAGAAATTAGACAGAGCTCTTAGATGCATGGGGATGCCAAACGCGGTGCTGGGAGTTGCGGAGGTGGCGGCGGAGGCGGCGGAGGCGGCGGCGGCGGCGCTGCTGGGAGTTGCTGGTACTCCTGCCACTGCAGCAGACGACGTAAGCTCGCCTCTGGCTGCTGCCGCAGCTGCTGCATGTGCCGGGCCACGCGCACCAATCACATCGCAACACGCGGCTCTAGATCCGAGCGCACATGCCGCCCCTACTCGTCCTGCTCCTACTCCTCCTCCTCCCGCTGCCGCCGCTGCAGCCTCTGCTGCCGTTGCCGTAGCCACGGCGGTGGCAACCCCAGTTGTGTTCGAAGCGCCTTCCCCCACCCTCACTCCCAGGCGCCCCCCCGCGCCTACCGCTGCCGCCGCTGCTTCGCGCGCTGCGCCATCGCGGCCTGCCACGTGTCGATGCACCAGCGACGCCGCTCTCCTCGCCACCACCCGCGCGGCCGCCCGCCCCATCCGCGGCCCGTCCGCGGTGTAACTAACGTCCTAGGCGCTACTGACGTGGAAGCAGCCGCAACAACGGCTAATGCGACGTTTAGAGGTCTATCCAATAAAGCCAATCTGATAGGCACCCTGCAGGGACCGAGAGGATATGGAAAACCACGAGCAGGCAGATCGCGCTTCGGAGAAAAGGACCGATTGGAATGATAAGAACGATAGGAAAATGGTGCTAAGCTCGGGTGGCACGCGGCGCTCCGTGCGTCATTAGGGGAGCGTCTGTTCTCACAAGATCCGTGTACTCCGCGCGATCGGCGGCGGTGACGAGATCGGCGACCGGATGGGCGACAGGATGGGCGACGGTATGGGTGACGGGTTGGGCGACAAGATGGGCGAAAAGATGGGCGACGAAATGGGCGACAAGATGGGCGACCAGATGGGCGAAAAGATGGGCGACAGCATGGGCGTGACTGGTTGCTACTAATCGTCGCGTGCTAGTCTGCGACTAGTCTCCATCCAGGAGTGAGAGGAGGAGATCCAAGGAATGATCCAACAAGCTTCTGCCTTGCTAGCCACATTACCCCCCGATCGCCTCACCTGATTGGGCGCGAAGGGGAACAAAAGAAAGACACTTAGGTTTCGCCAATCGTCGCTCTGGAGCTAACACAGGATTTGGATAATGTGGCGATATTGACCGACAGATTTCGCCGATGACACAGGCGAGCTCAGACAGGGTAACCAGAAATTCAATTTCTTTCATCATATGCCTGGTTTGGGGTGGGGTGGGGGAAGAGGGATTTGTGCATGCCCCTGGAAAGCAAGTCCATCCATTTCACTCCATCCAGTCCAGTCCTCTCCTCTCCACTTCCATTTTCTGGCACAGCAGGGAAATTTTGTGTCCCACATTTTCTATTTCCCCGCGCTCCTCTACTTATCTCCACTTCCTCCTCTCATCATAATCCCGCACCCGCCAATTCCTCCACTCGATTCCTGCTCTCGCTCATCGTCCGTCGTGCTTCTGGCGATCGCCTTCTGACTATTCGCAGCAGCGTTGGGATTGTGAGAGTCATGGCAACGTCGCGAGAACTCAAGGAGATTTCGCCAGCCGTGACGAAAATTGGGTAACCGTCTCTCTCGGATGAATTTCGCGATGACTCTCGCTTCTCTGATTGCCATGATCGGTTTTACATCTTCCCCTGCTCGTTCCGCTCACCCGCCACAGTATCACAGTGTCCGCCTCGTCTCTTCTTCCTGTTTCCACGCGCGTTACGGAGTGGAAGAGGGAGGAGTGAGGGGTGAGCCAGGGGGTATTCTGCGGGGCTTTTCATTTTGTATTTTGGGGGATGGGATGGGACGGGATTGCGATGGGACGGGATTGCGATGGGCGCAGGTGGATAGGCACGGGAGTGATGGGCGCCGCCATGTGCGGGCATCTGCAGGCTGCTGGCTATGCCGTCAACGTGTTCAACCGCACGCCCAGGTATCATTGCCGCTCGCCACGCACTAAGGGCTCACCCCTCCTGCCATTCACCCCTCCTGCAATTCCTCTTCCTGCAATTCCTCTTCCTGCAATTCCTCTTCCTGCAATTCCTCTTCCTGCAATTCCTCTTCCTGCAATTCCTCTTCCTGCAATTCCTCTTCCTGCAATTCCTCTTCCTGCAATATCATCTCCGATTTTCCGGCAGTTTCCGCTCCTGTCAGCCATACCATCCTCCACGCCGCAATCTCAATCACCCGTCACCCGCCGTGCCCCCATGACCCCATGGCAGCAAGGCGGCAGCGCTGGTGGGGCGGGGGGCGATGCTGTGTGAGTCGCCGGCGGCTGTGGCGGCCAGTTCGGACGTTGTGTTCAGCATCGTCGGGTGAGCTTAAAGGCCAGGCCATGCCGTGCAGGGCTGTGCACTGCACTTCTGTGCTTGAGCTGCCATCCTTTCCTCTCGTTTTCAAAACTCCCTCCCCTCCCTTCCTCCCTTCCTCCCTTCCTCCCTTCCTCCCTTCCTCCCTTCCTCCCTTCCTCCCTTCCTCCCTTCCTCCCTTCCTCCCTTCCTTCTTTACTTCCCTCCCTGCGCCTCTCCCCCCCTCTCCCCCAGCTATCCCCATGACGTGCAGCAAGTGGTGCTGGGGCCCACAGGCGTACTCTCTGCTCTCAAACCAGGAGGCATTGTGAGATGCTCTAGGGGAGAGCCGGGGGGGACTTTTGAGTCGACTCAAAAGTCGCCTCTCTGCTCTGCTCTCAAACCAGGAGGCATTGTTAGATGCTGTAGGGGAGAGGCGGGGGGGGGGGGGGGAGAGGGTGGCATACAAGTGTTTGTGTATACATGGAAATCCAGGCATGGGAATCAGCATATGCAAATAGACATGGGCGGGCGAGTTCGCATGGACAAATCGCCATGGCATGTTGCAGGCAGATCGTTTGTATGTACTACAGAACCCCGATTTCATCCCTTACATGACAGAACCTTTGCTGGATGTTTCCCTTCATTCTCTCAGCTGTCCTGTTTCCTCCTTTGCTCTCCGCTCACGCACCCCCCATCCACCTCTCCTCGCCCCCTGGGCTCCACACCAGCTGGTGGATATGAGCACGAGCCAGCCATCCCTGGCAAGAGAGATAGCGGTCGCGGCAGAGGCAAGGTAAGATGAGGTGACGTGAGGTGAGGTGAGGTGAGGTGAGGTGAGGAGAGGAGAGGAGAGGTGAGTCAGGTGGGAAAGGGTGATTGGAAGAGATGATGCCACACAGCAACTAACGACCCATGGCATTCTTGCTATGAGTCATGTATGCCTCTGTGCGTGAATGTGCATCCTGCATCTGTGCGTGCATGTATACGTGCATGCATAACGGATGGTATGCGTGCGAGCAGGCAGTGCTGGGCGGTGGATGCGCCAGTGTCAGGCGGGGACAAGGGCGCGCGGGAGGCAGCACTGGCCATCATGGCCGGGGGCGACGAGGCAGTGGTGCAGGCGCTGCAGCCACTGCTGTCGTGCATGGGCAAGTGCACGTACATGGGGCCTGCTGGGGCCGGCCAGAGCTGCAAGATGGCCAACCAGGTACGCTTAATACTTATATGTACGCTTAATACTTATATGTACGCTTAATACTTATATGTACGCTTAATACTTATATGTACGCTTAATACTTATATGTACGCTTAATACTTATATGTACGCGCCCACCTGCCCTCTGCTTGCCCTTGACCTTTTGTGACTGTGTGCTGTTGCTGTGCTCACTCCCTCATCCACTCACAGTAATGCGGGGCTTTTGAGTCGACTCAAAAGTCACCATATGCGGGGCTCTCTCCTGGTCTTGTTGAAAGCCATTGGCGTGGCTGATTCTCTGTGTGCCCATTGTGTTTCATGTGTGCTGTGCGCATGGTGGTGGTGCATGCCTATGTGGGGGGGAGGGAGCAGGTGACGATAGCGAGCACCATGGTGGGGCTAGTGGAGGGCCTGCTGTACGCGCACAAGGCAGGCCTGCACATCCCCACGTGAGCCCCTCAGATAACGGCAGGAAAATTGCAGTAGGAGGGAGAGAGGCTGGGAAGTAGCAGTATAAGGGAGAGGCAGGGAGGGAGAGGCACGGAAAGGGGGTTGACTATGATGAGAGGGATTTTGTGTGATTGTGCGAGGGGGGAGGGAGTGTGTGGCCGGTGTGTTCTTCATAAAGGTGCGGACGTTGAGTTATTGCCACAGTGGTTTTTGAAATCACCGTTCTAACTGCACAAGGACAGGGCTTTCGTGTCTAACTGTTGTCTCTCCGCCTTCATTTCCTCCTTGGCTCGCTCTCTCCCTCCCTCCCTCCCTCCCTCCGTCCCTAACTCCCTTGCTCGCACGCCCTCTCACCCTCTTGCTGCTCCCTCCTCCTGTCATGCCATTTCCCTGCCACGCTCTCAGATATCTTGCTGCCATTTCCAAGGGAGCAGCAGGGTCGCGCTCGCTTGATCTCTACGCCCCGCGCATTCTCCAACGAGACTTCCTGCCAGGTCACCTCTCCCCACTCGCTTCCTTGCTCCATCCCACCGTACCATGCCACGCCATGTCAAGCCATGCCACAACATGCCATTGGGATTCCTCTGCTTGTCATTTTCGGAATCTCGGGCCCTCCCACCTTCCTGGTTCTCGATTCACACGGTGCTGGCCAGTAATTTGGGCATCCACAGAGTTGGGCTTCACTCCATGTCATCCTATACATGCCCATTTCAAGACACCAATGCATATCAAGGCAACCCGGTTTCCAGAATGTACTCCAAATCCAACCCGGCTTGTGCTGGCTGAATGCAATATCCAGCAGCTCATCCTACGATCTTATCATTCGCCGCCTGCCTGGTTGTGTGCTATTCACAGGTTTTTTCGTGAAGCACTTTGTGAAGGACCTTGGGATTGCCCTTGAGGAGTGCCGGGCCATGAACCTTTCCCTGCCAGGCCTGGCATTGGTAAGCCCACTAGCTGCAATACTTGGGATGAATTCTCATTCCTGTGCCAGTATTTTCTCCTGCGTCTTTGTGTTGCTTTTCATTGCCTGGCTCAACCCGCTGACTTTCAATGTCCTTGCTTTCCATGTGGGTATATTTCAGGCACAGCAGCTATTTGTGTCAATTCAGGCGCATGGAGATGGGGATCTTGGAACACAAGCCCTTGTGCTAGCTCTCGAACGGATAAACAATGTACAGCTGCCTACGGTTCCTCCCAGCTAGGGTGTGTATTCCTGGGATTGTTTGTTAGTGCACTACATTCTTTATTACGGTTTACTGGTCGTTATGATCATCCAGTAAATGCCCTCATTTGCTGCTGCATATAAAGCATGTACTGGAAATGCTTATCAGCTTGTCGGTTGTGACAATGCTGAGCTCAGGAGTCTGTTTCAAACGCAACTGCGAAGGCTGGCCGTTACAGTGCGAAGCCATCCAGCAACCCGAAAATGCGTAATCTACCATCTCGAAAGAGGAAATGGGGCAAACCACTCTGGATACCAAACCCGGACATTTGCCTGGTTGGTTTGCACGGGGATACTTTCTTGGTTTCAACTAAAGTCCGGAAGAAAGCAATTTGGGCAAAGCATTTCCGCTAGCGCAGGCCCTTGGAAAACACCCCTCGTGTTTTGTAGAAAACTCCAAGATTATCTCCAGAGGCAGACAGCAAGCAGCGGTGGGCCACTGGGGTGAAGCCCGCACAGGTTCTGCCGATGAAGACTGCCCGATCAAGAAGTGGCCTAGTCAGTAGAAAGAGGCACTTCCGATAGATGAGGTCCTGGGATCGAACCCACCCCCGTGCAGGCGTTGTTATGCCAGCCCCAAGTAGGGGTTAGCACGTGCTCATCTAGGAATGGATACCCCTTAAACTGGTTACGACCAGAAAAAACAACTTTAACTTTAACGATGAAGACTGCCCGAAGAAAACAGAGTGTTTCTCCCCCTACCGTCATTGGTTCCACAGCGAATGTGTATTTTGTTGACTGTACCGTGTCGGTGCACTGCGACTCCATCCTTCTGTGCTCCACAAACTACGGCTTGCCGAACCTGGGCGATAGCTAGCGAAATTGTTTTCGCAAATGTCTTGCTGTCCTCTTCAACAACCTGCCTGCCAGCACAGAACCGTTGTGTAACGCAGCACCGCCACTGTTCGTACAACTCTGTGCCCGATGGTGCGATTGGCCAATTTGGAGAAAGCATGGGGGAGACAGGTGCAAGAGCACAACAAACGCACGCTCGGGACCCCATGGTGTGGAGTGGACGTTGGAACGCACTCGCGCAGTGCTGTTCACCCCACAAGCTCTTCAAGGCTTGAGGAAGGCGTGTGTGCCTTTTCGAAGCAGTCCTGAGAAATTTAGTTGCGAGTTCGCAAAGAAAACATCGTCTTCAGTGGTTAGTCAATCGTTTGTAATGGCTGTTAGCGCGTGCAGCTTCGTTTTCGCCGTAACTTAATGAATACACTAACAGTAGTAAACGCAAGGTTGTTGGACTTTGAACGCGGTTCAGTTCATTGTTCTGTTTAGCGCTGAACGTTGCATCTAGAATCACCCCGCGTTGTCCCCAGCGTGCACGCGGTGCTGTCGCCGTTCATCGCCCTTTTCCGTCCGTGGGACGCGGAACGGCCCGCCATGGCTGTTAGCTGCTTCGGACCCGTCTTTCGAGGGTGAGCGCTGGCGGGCCGAGCGAGACGGGTGCATGAGTTTGTGTTCATGGATGCACGAGTATTTGGGTCGTAAGTGCATGCATGCGACATAATGAGCGACGTATATACCCTTCTCCTACCGTCTCCAATTCTGGCGTTCCCCATCCCCACCTCTTCCGTTCCCCTCAATCTCCCCAACTCCACGCATGTCCCTCTCTCTTCCCATCCCTCTCGCGGGTTCCCCTTTCCTCCTCCCTCCCATACTCCCCATCTCCCCCTTTCTCTCCCCCCCCCCCCCACCCCCTTCTCCTTCACCCCGCCTCCACCCCTCTTCATGTGCTCTCCATGTCGCGTTGACTACAGCGGTCAACATCCGTTTCTGCCGGCCGCTCCAGTAGTTCGACAACGATGACGCTGACGATAGCAGCACCAATAAATCCCGCGACTGCATCAACAATAAGGTGCAGCCAGCGCCCGCGTTTGCCGCCGCAAGAGCAGGCGAAGATGGATCCGCGCAAACAACGGCAGAACCTTCCGCGCTTCACCCTCCCCCATCTCCTCCCCCTCCGCCTCCGGCCCCACCGTCTGCTCCCCCTCCCCCTCCCCCCCCGCCTCCACCACGCGCGCCCCCGCCTCCCCCTCCGCCTCCCCCGCCTGGTTCGTACTCCGCGGGCGGGATGGCCACTCCGCGCGCGTCCTTCCGCCGCGCGCGGTCGATCAAGGAGCGGCGGGAAGCAGTGGCCCTAAAGGTGTTTCACTGGAACAAGGTGCATGACACCAAGGGAACTATATGGGACGAGCTCTCTAAAGACGCTGATCTCTTCTCGCGCGTGCAAGTAGACGGTCCTAAACTCGAGGCGCTCCAGGTGCTGTTTAAAGCCAAGGAGACTAAGGTTAAGATTGGCGCTGGGGGGTTGGCGGGCGCGGGGAGGAACGGGCTTGGGGGGGTGTTGGGGAGGGGACGGGGTGGCGGAGGGCAGGGGGATGCGGGGGGAGAGGGGGATGGCGGAGGGGGAAAGGAGGGGGAGGGGAAGGGTGTGGTGAAGGTGGTGACTCTAACGAGGGCGAATAATGTGGCTATAACGCTGGCGCAGTTCCGCATGGCGCATGGGGAGATCAGAGACGCCATCCTGCTGGGCAACCCGGGGTGCGCTCTGTCTCTGGACCAACTCGCTCTCATCACCCAGGTACGTACGTGTGCCTTGCCTGCCAGTAGTACTAAGGCCGCACCTGTAGCGCCTTGAGTTTAGCCACCACGCCCTGCTACAGCCGCAGCGGCACTAGCAGCATTGCCACCAGCACCACTGCCAGCACTAGCAGCAGCGCCAGCAGCACGAGCAGCAGCAGCAGCAGCAGCAGCCACCAGATACAACCACTACCACCACCCCACCCCCAGTACTACCATTCCTTCCCTACTTCATCCTTCATGTTCATGTCACCCTTATTCCCCCATCTCTCACACACTCTCTTTTTCGCTCACTTCATTGATATGCTCACCTCCTCCCCCCTCTCTCTGTGCCGCCCCTCAGGTGATTCCAACAGAGAGCGAGGCGCAGCAGCTGTTGGCGTACACGGAGAGCCGCCCCCTGGAGAACCTGTCAGCCCCTGAGCAGTTCCTGCACGCGCTCGCTACCATTCCCCGCCTGCGAGATAAGATTGATGTGTGCATTGCACGGGACGGGAGTAGTGGGGGCCTGGAATGGAAGGGGAGAAACGAGGAGTGAGTGAGTGAGGGGAGTGCGGAGTGAGGGGAATGAGAGGGGAACTGTGTGTGACGGCGCTGGGTAAGGAGGAGGAGGAGGAGGGCCGCAGTTTATGCCGATGAGTTTCGCTTCCGCTTTCGCTCTGACAATCCTCCCTCTCCTCCACTCCCCCTCTCCCCATTATCCTTTCCTTTCTACCTTACCTCCCTCGCCCTTGCTCTCTTCTCCTGCCCTGCCCACCTGGCCCTTCCTCTTTTCCGCCTGCCTGCCCTCTGTCTGGTGTGATTGCTGTGCGGCATGATCATGATCATGATCAGGCGTGGGTGTTCATGCTGCGCTGCACTGACATGGTGGCAGACACACAGCGCCTCATTCACACCTTCCAGCGCGCCTGCCACCAGGTCAGTGTGGTGCGCAGCGGTACACAGCGGTACACAGCGGTACACAGCGGTACACAGCAGTGCTCAGTGGTGGTGTGGGAGAATGTACCGTGGGGGAGCGAGCAGTACATGGGATGGCGGCCGGGCGGGGGAGTGAAACGGGAGGAGAGAGAGTTTAAAACCGGGCATGCCCCAATCCACCTGTGTGCATGTGTGTCAGGTGCGTGTTTTGAGACGTCTCAAAACAATCCACCCGTGTGCATGTGTGTCAGGTGCGGGAGGGCAAGCCTTTTGAGGCGCCTCAAAAGTCGTCTCTCTACCCGCATTTTTTGCCGCGCGCACGCGCGCGCGCGCGCGCGCGCGCGCGCGTGTGTGTGTGTGTGTGTGTGTGTGTGTGTGTGCGTGCGTGCGTGCGTGCGTGCGCGCGCGCGTGTGTGTGTGTGTGTGTGTGTGTGTGTGTGTCTGTGTGTGTGTCTGTGTGTGTGTGTGTGTGTGTGTGTGTCTGTGTGTGTGTGTGTGTGTGTGTGTGAGAGAGAGAGAGAGAGAGCAGGTGCGGGAGTGCAAGCCTCTGAGGGCAGCCATGGCAGCAGCGCTGCAGGCAGGCAACGAGCTCAACTACGGCAGCACGAAAGGTCCGTTCCGTTGCACACCTTTGCTTTGCACACCCACCCACCAACGCGAGTTGACAGTTCTTAAAACTGCCACCACAAGCACACCAAAGGTCCTATCCGAGGCCAGCCATTTGCAACTCAAAACGTGCAGCTTGACATTCGTCCATGTCTCTGAAGCCACTACAGCCATAGCTTTCCAGCCATAAGGCAGCGAGAGCCATGCATTATTGGCCCCTCGTCTTCTCTCTCGCGTCATTCCCCTTGTCAATTCTCTCTTTCTCTTATCAATCTTTTTTTTGTTTGTTTGTTTGTTTGTTTTTTGTTTTTTTTCTTTCTTTCTTTCTTTCTTTCTTTTTGTTCTCCTTACCAGAAACTGGTCACGTTCACTTCCATCTCTCCCCATACCCTTCTTCACATATTCCACACCCGTTTCTCCTCTCATCCCTCCCTTTCAGCTCTTTCCTCTACTCCCCTCCTCTCACCCTTGCTCTCTCCACCTTCTCCCTCTCCCCTCCAAACCTGCTGCCCCTTCCCCTCTCTCTCCCCCAGCCGGCGCCCTGGGTTTCAGCATAGAGACGCTACCAAAGCTGGCGGACCATCGGGTCACCCTCTCCGCGCCACCAGCGCCATCACCCCACCCTCCCACCGACCTCTTGTCTGGCTTCCGCACCCCACCCCTACCTCCTCCTGCTGCTGCCCCTCCTGCCACTGCTGCTGCTGCAGCTCCTGCTGCGCGGGTGACAGCGGCAGGTCTTTCCCCACTCCATCAGACTGTGTGTGATAAGTCGAGTTTTGTCAGAGTTGAGTCGACTCAAAACTCCACTTATCACACACTCCATCAGACTCCCTACTCTTCCCGGAGCTCTTCTCTCCCCGCTGCCCCAGGGCCCTTTTCAGCCATGAAAAGTTCAAGCAGCGTGGGTGCTTCTGCTGCTTCTGCTGCTTCTGCTGCTGCCCGCACTGCTGCACTGCTGCCTGAGTCAAGAAGCACCGGTCCTCACATCCCTGTGCATGCAGCACCGGCTGGTAGCAATCCTGCCACCTACCGCGGTGCTGGTGGTTGTGGTGCAAGCATTGTCAGTACGAGCATGGGCACAGCCACTGGCAGAAGCACGGGAAGCAGGATGGAAGGGCGGCAGGTGAAACGAGCTATGCTGCAGGCGACCAGCCTGCTAGACGTAGTCGCTGTGCTGGTAATGGCAGGCGGAGCGGTGCAGCGCGGTACGGAGATGTCCAAGGCTCTGGATGCCGTTGCTGCTGCTGCAAGGGTTCCTCTAGAGGAGATTCAGAAGAGCCTGGGGGGTGTGGATGAGGGAATCACGACAGTGGAAAAGGAACTGGCGTTTGTGATTAGTGAGGAAGAGGCTAAAGAGGCCGCTGCTGCTGCGGCTGAAGCAGCAGCGCTTTTGGAGGGAGGAGGGAGTGAGGAGGGGGAGGAGGGAGAGGAGGGAGAGGAGGGAGAGCAGGAGGTAGCGGAGAGGGGAGGCGGGGAGGGTAGCGGTGGTGGAAGTGAGGGGGGAGAGGGAGAAGAGGGAGGGGGCTCAGGGGAGCAGAACGGATTAGGGGATGAAGAGGAGGGAGCGTCGCTGTTGCAGAGCTTGCGGGGGAGGAGTGACAGGGAGGAAGCAGAGACTCCGGACGGTTCCTCCTGTGCCATCACCTGCTGGGGCCCTCTGCGAACTAGATCTGGCCGGGGGAAAAGGGGATGGGGAGGGATAGAGGGAGAGGGAGAGAAAGGTGGGAGGAAGGAGAGGTTTGGGTGGAGAGGGAGTGCTAGGCGGTTGGGGAGAGAGTGGGAGGAGTGGGGGAAGAGGGAGAGGCCGCCTGTGGTGCGAGGGAAGGAGATGGGTGCGAGGAAGAAGGCGGGAGGTGGGAGAGAGGGGAAGAAGAGTAAGAAGAGCGGGAAAAAGCGGGAGGGACGAGGGGGAGGGGAAGAAGGGGGTGTGGGAAGTGAGGAAGTGGGGAGGGAGGAGGAGGGGGTGGGAGGAGGGTGTGATAGGGAGGGAGAGGAGGGGAACAGGGTTGCAGATGGAAACGCAGTGGCGAAGTCTTCTGGTGCTCTCGCTGCTGCAACACCATCCCCTGCTCACTCAAACACAGAAACAAACCCAGGAGAGGAGGAGGAGACGAAGCGAGAGACAAAGCATCACTCTGATGGCGCTTGCATTGCATCCACTCCCACTGCCGGCATCGGGGCCTCCTTCTCAGATGATATCAGAGCAGGCGTGAAGCTCAGGAGCGTTCCCCCCACGCCCCGAGGAACGGGGGCAGGCGGGAGGAGGTCTGTTCCCCCCACGCCTAGAGGAATTGGGGCAGGCGGGGGGAGGAGTGTTCCCCCAACGCCCCGCACACCGGCAGTGGGGCAGTCAGGGAGGGTTAAGGGATCCGTTGTTCCTCCTGCCACGCCTAGCGCAAAGAGTGCGGCTCTCCCTCCCCGCCCAACTCCTGCTTCCGCTGCTGCTTCTGCAGGCCCTGTTGCTTATGCTGCTGCTGCTGCTGCTGCTGCTGCTGCTACTGCTGCCGTGCCATCTGTTGTGCCAGTGGCTCCATACGAAAGAGGCGTTGAAGCACCACCTGCAGCAGCAGTAGCAGCAGCAGCAGCAGCAGCCGCAACAGCAGCAGAAGCACTCCCAGCGGCTGCAGCAGCAGCAGAACCAGCCGGAGCAGGCGCATCACTGTCAACAGCAGCAGCAGCAGCAGGAGCAGGAGCAGCAGGAGCAAGACCACCACATCCAGTGCACAGATCTGCCACCACAGGCGCAGTCGGAGCAGCAAGGAGCCCAGAGCAAGGGGGGAAGCAGCTCACGCCCCCTTTGCGACGAGCCACGTCCGCTTACGAGGCAGGCTCTGGGGACTCATCTACTCACGAGGGCTCTGATGGGGGGTGCACGGGGGAAGGTGGCAGAGGCAGAGGCGGAAGGGGGGCGGGCGCAGGGAGAGGGAGGGGCGGCGTGAGTGGGTACAGATGGGTGACGAGGTTTGGCGCGAGGAAAGGGATTGCGATGGCGGTGGTGGGAAAGCCGGTGCCGATTGCAGGGGTTGCTAGTGACGACGGGGAGGCTCGTGCGGGTTCTGCTAGAGGGAGGGGCACTGCACGGGGAGGAGGGCTCAGGAGGGATGGAAATAGAGGAGTCGGAGGAGGAGGTAAGAAGGTAGGGAGAGAGGGAGGGGAGGGTGGGGGACGGGGGTTGGGTGGTGGTGATGGTGGTGGTGGGGGTTGTGATGGGCGGAAGTTGACGTTAGGGGAGATGGTTGCAGCTAGGATGCACCGTAGGGCGATGAGTGACATGTGTAGCTGGTCCAGCCGCGACAGAGCTATTGCTGCTGCTGATGGTGATGGTGATGGTGATGGTGATGGTGATGGTGATGGTGATGGTGATGGGGGTTGGTGGGAGAAGAAAAGAACAGGAGGTGGAGGAGCAACGGAGAGGTGATCAGGAGTTGAGGAGTAAGGAGGGGGTGGAGGGGGGAGAGGAGGAGGATGAGGAGGAGGAGGAGGAGGAGGAGGACGAGGAGGAGTACATGAATGCATCAGCCTTTGTACGGCAGGAGCGGTTGCCAAGCAGAGGACGAGTGGCTTCACCCTCTCTCCCCCCTCCTGTGCCTTCCTCGTGTGTCTCCTCCTCTACCGCTCACAGCAGCACCAACACTCCTGACGTGTTCACATTCAGGGAGCGTAGTGGGCCTAACAACAGTGATAGTGATGGTGATGCTGCTGAGGATGATGATGAGGGTGATGGTGCTGCTGCTGCTGCTGCTGCTGCTGCTGGTGATCGTGTGAGGAAGAACAGAGCTGGAGGGAATGGGGTTTCATCAAGTGCGTTCAGTGATTCACGCAAGTGCATGGCGTTCAAGAGGAGCCCTTTCAACGGAGTCATCGCCGCAACCCCTCGCACGCAGCAGGTGTGGACCGAGCAGCACGGCAGCACCAGCAGCAACCTCCCTGCTTCCCCTCCACACTACCACACCCTCGCTCCCTCCGCCACTCCTGCTGCTGGTGCAGCCACAGGGGCCGCACTGGCAGTAGCGAAGCAGGAGGAGGAGGGGGACGAGGAAGAAGGATTAGAGGAAGAGTTGGAGGGGAACGAGTGGAGGGTGTATGACGAGGTAGCGGCGTGGCAGCAGTGGCGCCGGAGCAGGGGAGAGGAGTCGGGGGATGAGGGTGACGTGAGTGGCAACATCGGACTTGGAGCATACCATTTCCTTAAAGCCCAGTCCACAGGCAATATTAGGGTTACCTCCGCTGCTGCTGCTGCTGCTGGTGCTGCTGGTGCTGGTGGTGCTGGTGGTGATGGTACCGGTGCATCTAGCACACCCGCCCCAGCCTTTCCGCACAGTCAGAGCGCACGCATGCGGGGTTCTGGTTCGGTGAGTGGAGGGGCCTCGGCCAGCAGCCTATATGGGAACGGCAGGAACGGCAGAATTTCCGTGTATCGATCAGGGTCAGGCTCTGGTGGTGGTGGGGTTCCCAGCTATGCACCCTCCGCTGCTGCGAACTCTGCAGCAGGTTCGGATCACGACCGGGCAGGCGGGTCGCTCTATAGGGGGTACAGCGGGGGAGAGATGAGCGATGCGGCAGCAGCAGTTGAGAGGAGCATGCGGAGGGAAGCAGCGGCGGCGCTCGCAGCAGCGGCGGTGGCTGCAGCGACAGGGGCAAGAGGCAGCGGTGGGTTTGGGTCTACGAGCTTACGACCCCGCCCGTCTCCCCGCGTGGGTGGGCGGAACAGCAAGGCGGCAGCGGCAGGGCGAATGGCTGTGGAGAGGGGGAGGGAGGCTGAGAGGGAGAGGGCTGGGAGGCGGAGGAAGGGAGAGGCTGGGCAGGAATCAGACGATGCGTTTGGGTTTGAGGGTTCACAGAGGCGGTATGCATCGAATGCGGTGGGTGTGTCGCGAAAATCAGCTGTGCGTGTCGCATACGGGTGCCACGGAGGGGGACCTGTGGCTGAATTGGCACGGAGAGAAGCCCTGGAGGGGTTTCCCCGGTGCCAGAGCGAACCTGGCAAGGCGTGTGGGGAGGAACAGGCGGGGCGAGAGGAGCGTTGGGAGGAGGACGGGGAGGAGGACGGAGGAGAGGGGATGGTTTGGGATGGGTTGGAAGGGAGCAAGCGGGAGGAGGATTATTTTGCGTTTGAAGAGGAGGGGGTGCCTGGGATGGGTTGGGGTGTGGCCGGTGGTGGAGAGAGGAGCGAGGGCAGAGAGGGATGCGAGGCGGAGGGGTTTGGTAGTGGCGGCAGTGGCACGACCACCATCAGCACGAGCAGCTGTGGCACTGGTAACAGCAACAGCAGCAGCAGTACCGGAGGCAGCAGCAGCAGTGTCCCCACCAGCAGTGCCAGCAACAGCAGCCCAGCAGCACTCAAGGGAACACCATCTGCTGCCTATCCTCCCCGGGGTGTGTCTCCTCCTCCGGGCTTGTCACCAGAAGGGATAGAGGAAGCACTGAGAGGGGCGAAACCAGCAATCCGAGGGCTATATGTGAAGGACGTGGTGAGCAAGTGGGAAGGGGGTGCGGGCGGGCGCGGGGGAGGGAGGACAGATGAGAGCGACTGGGAGACTGGGGAGGTGGAGGAAGCGGAGAGGGAGAGGGAGAGGGAGAGGCAGAGGAGGACGATGTTCCAGAGGGGGGGAGGGTGGATGAGGCAAGCTGGGGAGGGTGACGAGGGAGCTGGGAGTGTTGGTGATTGCCATGCGGGTAGCGGCGTGGGGCGCTTGGTACAAAGCCGTGAGCAGCTTGGGAGTGGGAACAGAGGCGGATGTGTGGAGGTGGAAGGATTTGAGAATTCTCAAAAGGTGAAAGATGGTGCCTGTGTGTGGGCTGGGGTGGAGAGTGCTGATAGTGCTGCTCGTGCCGATGACAGCGCTGATGCTCATGCTTCTGCTGCTGACACTAACAGTGGTGCTGCTGCCGAACCTGATGCCCATGGTGGCGCATGGGAAGGCCCTAACGATGGTGATGGTGATGGTGCTGCCGACGATAAAGATGATGACGATGGTGTTCCAGTGTCTGCTGCTGCATGGCAGTGGGAGTTGACTCTCTCTGACCGTCTAACGCAGTTTCTAGACAGGGCGAGGGCGGACAGGGAGGGGCTGGTGCGGCAAATGGAGGAGAGCAAGCAGCAGTTCCAGCAGCTTGCAACATTTCTGGGAGAACCCCCCTCGTCCTCTCCCCAGGTGTGTGTTCGCTGCACTGCACAGGAACTCCCCAAATGCATACCGTACCGGCACTAGCAGTTTTTATTTCCAATCCTTGCGTGGTTTCTTCCAGTCGTCATGAAATTTTGTGAGCCTTGCGGTGAGTTTCCAACTTTCCTCTGTTTTTATTTTGTTTCCTCTGCTTCTGCTGTGGCTGTCTGTTCTGCGTGGTGGTGCCCTGTGCAGGCCATTTTTGGGGCACTGGCACGGTTTGCAGAGGCATTTGATAAGAGCCAACGCGCCGTTGGCCTTCTGTAGCGCTGTGCCGTGCCGTGCGGTGCAGTGTAGTGCAACGCGGTGCAATCTGCGGCATATGCGGTGGATGTGCTTCTGCAATTGCGATGCACACGCTAGATCTTACCATTACCATGGTCTTTATGCATGTGAATGTGCATCTGTATGCACCATATCGTTCTGCAGCGACCTCAGACCCGTGAAGGGCAGCATTGTAGATAATTTTTTTGCCAACTATTGCAACAATGAGCCGTTCAAGTTTGGGAGGATAGTGACAATTTGTTTTCATTCATTATTGATAGCATTTATTTGTAGACGAATGTATTGTTAGACTCGACAAGAAAGCCAACCACTCTCGAAAACTACGCGTTAGAATGTTCCAGGCCCTTCGAGCCGAGGCGGACAGATAGTTCACCCAGCTCGCCCACACCCTTCCTGAATCTTCTCCCACCCCTCCTTGGGATTGGATTGCTGCAGTAGGACAGTCCTTCACAGTGTAATCCGCTCCACAGTGCTTTCTAGGTGGGTAGAGAACGCTTCCTGAATCCACCAGAATGTGTCTTTTTCGTCTGGCCTTCTCCCTTCGTGGCCTCGCTGGTGGCTTACCATCGCAACCGATGCATCAGCTTGAGTCGGGTCTGCGCGGAGTTGCTTTGAACGGCCCGTTCCAGGCGTCGCGATCTGTTGTGTTCAAGTACAGCTGAACCGCCAGCTCAATTCTCCGAGGCGCTTGCGCTTCCCTCCGTTTCTTCTCGAAGGTTTTTTAGCGGTAAAAAAAAAGGGGAGTAATAAGAAGTAACATCATAGCAAGCTGGCTCAGTCGTCATGGCAAGTCCTATCGGTTCGCCTCTCACCACCCCCGCAACCTCCCCTCTCCGCGAAACCCCTTTCCTCTCCGCCGCCCACTTATCATCCGGGATGCACTCGGCGCAACCCGCCCCGCTATCCTGCGCCAACCCTTCCCCCTTGGTTCCGCCCGCGCCCGCGCTGGCGACGGCGTCCGCGGAAGCCTTTCCCCGCATGACATTTCCGCCAGTTTTGCCGGAAGCTTCCGCATTTGGCGCTGCGGCGCCACTTGTTTGGGCGGGAACAGCCTGCGGGGCTGACGCGCGCAGGCTGGGATGTAAGCGCAAGGGAGGCGCATGGATGGGGGGAGAAGTCGGAGCAGGCGGAGGGGAACTCGGGATTCCGGGAGTTGGTGCGGGGGGCATTGGGAGCGCAACGGGGATGGATGGCGTGGTGGGCGGGATGGGGAATGAAATCATGGCGGACTTGGGGAATCCAGCAAAACGGGCGAGACTGCAGGTCAGTGGGGTTGGAAAACAGCTCTTTAGCCATCTCCCACCTTGTCCTTCTGGGTTCGCATCTCGCGCCGTGGCACCAGTGGCGTCCAGGAGCACCAATATCTGTCAGGTTGTGCTGAACCATCCATCGATCAAGCTCCTCGCCTCTTTTTCCTCATCGCTTTCCCGTCTCTCTTTCTCCCATCTTCCCTGCCGCCTCTTTCGCCCATTGCCCCCGTCGCAGCTACCATCAGCACCAGCGGACCCCGCGTACGCAGTCTCCACTCTCCCAACCTCATCGAATCTTTTTGCACCTCCTTCCATCTCTCCAACCTCCGCCTCTCCATCCTCCCCTGTCCTCCGCGCCCTAACCCCTCCTCCGTCACCCCCTCTCTCGCCTACATCAATGCAAGCCTCCGCTTTCCTCTCCACCCCACTCACTGCTGCTGCTGCAGCTGCACCCACTCCATCTGCCGCTCCTGTTGCATCGGTCGCTGCTGCCATTCCAAGCAACTACAGTGCCATGGCTCCAATCGCTGCTACTGCGCCTACCTCTCAACCACCTTTCCAGGGCGCACGCTCTATGGACACAATTTCTGGATCCCCACACACGCCACTGCACGCACAACTGCAGGCTTCAGTACCACCCACTGCACCCTTTCCCTCGCAAGAAGCAGAGAATCAGAAAGCCATTGTCCTGTATTCTCCTCCTGTCATCCCCTCTCTCTCCACGGGCGCTGGCACGGGTGCTGGCGCTGGGAGAAGAGCAGAGCGAGAAGCCATGGCAGGAGCATCAGCGTCACTCGCAGCACGAGCAGCGGCGCAGCAGTGGCCGATAGAGAAGCTCAAGGCGGCATGGCTGGGGGCGAGCCCCATGGAGAAAAGGGTGCTTGGGGGCATGATTGGATCGTTGATGCAGGGCCAACCGATTCAGATCCTGGGAGGGAGCAAGCTGCTAGAAGGTACGATGCCCCGGCTGGCTGTGTGCTGAGGCTCTGCATGTATGCTGGCTGTTATTGAAGGGGATAGAAGATAGATTATCAAACAATGTTTTGCAACCGTGGTTTAATGATTCGAGTCGTCTGGTCATCTTGTTTCTGCTGTCATTTGCCCAGCGTCTTGTCCTTCCTCTTTTTTCCTCTCTGACTGCGCTCACCATCCGTATGCTTTCCACTCTGCTTTCCCATCTGGCAGCCCTTCAGCTGCATCCGCCTGGTGTTGTGGATGGTGGGTTGGGAGGCGACGAAGGGTTGAAGGCACAAGCAGAGGGTGAAGAGGAGGAGGACATAGAAGAAGAGGTGGAGCAAGCAGAGCAGCAACCGGATTCGTTGATGGCGACAGCGGATGTCATGAACCTGGAGCCGCAAAAAATTGCCTGCAGCAGCTCTAATGAAGGAAACTATGGGGAGGACATGGAAATGGTTTGAGTGATATGGTAGTGACACAAATTTGACAACTTGAAAACTTTGGGCTGTTTAAAGTTTTTGTACTTCCTTCTCAATTTAGCTTTATACCAGAAGTTGTGCTGTTCGTGGGTGTGAATGGGTATGTACCGTGGATTAGGTGTTAAGAGTTAGAATATGTATCGCTGGGCCTAGGGTGAACGCAATGTGTAATTACAATAAATAAGATTTGCACATCAAATGTTTGAATATGTCATGCACACTAACGCTTTTACCACCGAAGTTTTTGTAGTGGAGCTGTGATAGGAGTCATCGAACCTGAATATATGCCACCAAATATCCGTGCACAATTCGGGCGATAGCCGTGCGGCTGTGCCGATGTCCCATGTTTCAGGTTTGTGACAGGGAATTCAGATTTCTTTATGTGATCACAGAAGGAAAGCTTACAAGAAAATAAATAGGTTAATACCTGCCTAAGAGACTAAAGTACCACGGTTTCTAAAACGCATTGTGCGGCAGCCATCTAAGCTGAGACAGGCTCGGCGGCGGCAGAAACGTCAGCGGCATCGAGCTGCAGGTCGTACCGCTTGCCGCGCACCACAGCGTACACCTTGTCGGGCGCAATGTAGTCGCACGTGCGCTCCATGCGGAAAGGCTCGCCAGGAATCTGTAGAGATGCAGCAACATGGGACACAAGAAAGTTAGCAAGACATGCGAGCGGAGGCTCCGGGGCTATCCCAGTTGCTGATGCATAATTCACAGCGTTGGTGGTAGAGCCGTCACGGGATTAATGACACTGACCTGATTTCCGGAGTGGATTTGAACGCCGGTGACAACGGCATAGTCAGCCGTGGCGGGGTCGACGGTGAGCGAGATGAGCTTCTCGAGGTCCTCGTTAATAGCCTGCATGGCGGCCTTGGTGACCTGCACGAGCGACAGCAGCTCGCCCTCCTTCTTGCGCTGCACCTTCTCCATGACCTTGGTCTTGAGCAGCTGGTACTCCGCGTCGTCGTCGTCGGGGGAAGGGCCGTTGCCCGCGTTGATGTCGTTCTTGATCGCGATCAGCGCACCGCAAGCGCTGGACGCCTTACCGCGGCCGCGACGCAGGAGAGAGCCCACCTCGCCGGACTCGCCGACGGACACGTGGGGGAACGCGAAGAAAATGTCTGCACAGAGGAACACAAGAGAAGGTGTGGAAGGGGACAAAGCGTGCACAATCAGCAAATTGATACATTTATGAAGACGGATTGCATGTGGGTGAGATTAGAGAAGAATGGAGAAAATGAGACACACATTATAAAGCAAAAAGTCGGCGGCATCCGCAACACACATTGTGTTGACACCTTCGGGATTATCGTGGAAAGAATGTTCGCGGTTTCAACGATTTTACTACATGTTTCCCGGCGCGATAACTGGAAGTTGAATCAGCGAACGACAGCATACAAACCGCGCGTCGTGCATATTCACCCGCTTGCATCCGAGCGGAATCCACCAACTAATGTAATCACTCACATCGTTCCTTGATGGTGCCGTCAACGTCGCAAAGGAACTCAGGCGAGTGGCTCATGGCGGCCTTGAACCCCGTCTTGCCGCAGTTCACCAGCCCACCAAGCCCCGACACATTGAACGAGAGCCCGAACTCCTTGTCGATCAGGTTCACGATCGGCCGGCACACCTCGTCGCGGCACGTGTTGACGAGGGCAATGCCGTTGTCCTTGCGGAAGCCCAGCTTGTTCAGCTCCACGGCCACGGCGTGAAGAAACTCCTCCTCCTGCCGCGCGTTAGGGAAGAACTTCGCCATGGACGCGAGCGCGGGAAGCGCCGCCTGCTTTACGCGAGCGATGCCGCCGTTGGCGGGCGCTGCTGCAGCCGCAGGGGCAGCAGCTGCGGCGGTAGCGACGGCGGCACCGGCGGGCGCGGCGGCGGGAGCGGCAGCCTGAGCTGGGCTGGGGAAGGTGATGTTCACAACGTAGTAGGTGGCACCGCTGCCGTTGGCGCTGGGAACGGCGCTGGTGTGTGTGACGATGGACTCGGCGCGCACTGAGCGGCTATTGAAGCCGGCGCACTTGTTGCAGGCACAGTTCTTAGTTGCGACGGAGGCGCTGGCCGTCTTGGAAAGAGCCTTCAGACCCGAGAAAGCCGGGATGTCTGCGGGGAAACGCCAAGCCATCATCAAAGGAAAGATATTTTTTTTCTTTTTTCAGTAACACGAGATAACCCAAGCAGACGGCATTTCCAGATGTGTCTGCAAGAAATAATGATATCAGGGCAAAAATGTTCCACTTACTGGCAGATGAAGACACGGCCTTTGCCACTGACAGCGACTGAGCTGCGATGGCAGTGGAGGTGGCGAGAGTGGCAGCCATGATTTCGAAGTGTCAGCAGAAAGTTACGCTGCTGAATCTGAGCGAGGATCAAAACTAGGCAGCGTAAATTGGGTGCGTCGAACCAAATAATTTTTATTTGTTCCACATTGAGGTTCTTTATCCTGAGCGTCCCGTGGGTGCAAGGGTGGCTGGGAGGACACTCTCTGAACCGAAGCGCGTTACTATGTTGGTAAGGGAGGGGGAGATGCAGGCGTGCCGGGTTTTTTAGGAAGGTTGATTGCTGCGTCACCTTTCAGAAATTCTGACGATTCTGGTGCCACGTGCATGGCCCTTCCAGAGCTGCGGGTGGTTACCCTCCGACTTCACATTGGTCTGTCTGTCCTCGTCACCCAAAGTAGGTGCGTCAGCCTGAGTATTAAACCCCGAAACACAATTCTTCCCGTGAACGTGTCCACGTGCCATAAGCTATTTTCGGATCATTCCGCGCGGGTCGAGTTCTGGTCGAGACATTCTTGGATGCATGAACCGAAACTTGTCCTGGACGCCTTCGAATTCCTTCGCGAAGGTACAACACTTTCGCATTGCTCCTACAGGCGAATAGTTGCGCCACGGTTTCACAGGCGTATCGCAATTTTCCAGCGCCCGTTATGCCCACCACCGCACCACACACCTCACCTCCACGTGGCAACGAACATGAGGTTGACCAGCTCATCCCTGCATCCAGCCCTGATCCATCCCAGGTTGGGCAATTGGTTTGGAATGGGAGGCTCTGCTTTCGTTTCATGGCTCCCTGTGTGTCATCGCACCTGAATGCAGACGAATTCTTCACCTGAATGAATTCTCCTCCCTGGCATCCCAAACCAACATTTCAGCGTCGTCATCATGCCCACTTTCGTCCCAACAGTTCCAGAGTTCTCCGTCATGTTTGCTCGTCAGAAAAGCGAGCAACTAAGTCAAGTAGAACCGACTACCAACGAAAAAGAAGAAACTTGCTGTGGTGGTATTATTCACCTTTAGCTGCTATCAACTGGCATCGGATGCAAAAGCCGTCGTTGAAAATATCGCTGCATAAGACATCAGATTCTCTGCTGGGTTGTAACTGTCCATAATGCGATGGACAAGCGGCTTGGAAGTCGACTGTGTGTATCCAAAAGCGCAAAACTCGCAACCCGACCAGCAGAGCCGGCACGCTACCTGTGCCCAACTAACTGGATGGACACACTATTTCAGGTATCGTACTACCTGACAATTGCCTCTTCTAGGTCGTCTTTCACAATTTCTAGGGGAGCTGATGAAGAACGGCAATAAGAAAAAAACGTCTCAAACTCTCCTAAAAAACGCATTTGTAAGTGGTATATCATGTCCTTGGCATAAGTTGTCGCAGAGCTCTCGTCCCCGCCTGAGATACGCCTTACCACGATTCACGAAGTATACCATGATAGGGACAAGGAGGGCGAGACACCTGCAGTTGTGAGTCAGCCACCTGGGGATGCGCCATGGAATGAGGGATTTATGGCGCAATGTTGACAGCTCTAAGAACTCTGCACTTGAGGAGCTTGCCTGATTATAGTATTCACCTTAAAGCACAAAGAAGGCGTAGTCCAGCTCTGTTTCTGCCCATCATGGGTGGAAATTGGAAATGTGTGTGCTAAATGCAGTATGAAAACCATGAACTTCAGCCGGCAGGTAATGGAGCTGCACTCCCCCTGGATGCATACAGGTGATATGGTAGATTGCTTCCCCCTTTCATTGTACTCCTAGTTTGCGTCTGTTAGTTCTCAAGCCCTACTCCAGCTTTTTACATCTGGTATTATAGCAGGGCGGTTGTAACCAATTTTTCATTTCTTCATTGCACTCTTGGAACAAAGCTTGTACTTTGAGCGGCTCATAATGCTTTGTTATGAGTTGCACAATGTAGAATTTGAAGGCGACTGGAGGGCTCTATTGGGTTCGACGCGCACAAGCGTTCGCCATCCAATCTGGGCCAATGCGCTGTCGGCCACCTTCGTCCATGAGATGGCGGCGACGAGCTTGATTGGGTCAAACAACAAACCTGGTCAGTTCTTGCTTCCAGATTTCCAGCTAGCGTGATGGGTCATGGGCGCGCATTGCGGAAGTTTTGCCCACCGCGTTCTAAAAGTTTAGCACTGTCAAGTGCTGTCGCACGCGTTCTGGATGTCCCGAGTACAGACCCGTTCGACATCACACTGGCTCCCCCATAGCAGTACCGTAAATGAGTTATGCAAAGCGCGTAGCACCCAAGCCGTAAGGGGGTGTGCGAAGTAAAACGTCGACATCCGTTGACATCGGTTTGGGGATGTCGGCGAAGTCTGACGGTCGGAATCTTCGATCCGAGGGCTGACATGCACCGACATCCAGCGACATCCAGCGACATGGTCACTTCGGACACGCCATAAATGAGTTGTGCAAAGAGCAACCAAGGGCGCGAGCTTGGTTGGGTTACCATCCCCGATATTGCACTTGGCGAGAACTGACTCGACAACTATTGTGTGGATTCTTCAATTCATTTTTTGCGTATGCACAAAACAGATGGTACTGTACCTTTGGCAAAAATGTTTTGTGCTGAACGGGTATTTCGGCTCGAAAAGCACCACGCCAACGCCACACTTCAGGGCCAAGGTGAACGTGCTTTCTGTTCTGGCCCTCCCATTCCCACATGCTGGGCCTGAAGCACAT